TTCAAGTGGTGCTCGAGTAATTGGTAAGGAGGCATTAAACGCCGGAGTAGGTCTTTTAATCAGATATGGTTCAAGCGCGTCCAATGGAAACCTCAATAAAAGATCGTCTAAAGCAAGTTAGCACAAACTTAAAACGAAAGGCTGATGATAAAATTGATCGATTAAACATGACAGGATCTGGGTATATAACTAAAAGAAAACGATTGCCCTCATTCATTCCACCATTAACTGCTAAAGTGAAAGCTGCAAAAAAACTTGGTCTAAAACCAAAAAATATCAAAGATATATTTTCAAATTAAATATGTCTTTTCTTCATAATCATTCTTGTGAGTGCGTTAAGTCAGAATTGGATTTGTTTGCACTACCGTCTACACAAACAAGCATTGAAAATGGATTGTGGATTCACTATAAACCAATTTCATCTCTTGCTGATGATGGACCTATCGAGTTTCAAGTTCCTGGTACAGGCGATGACTACATGGATTTGTCTCATACATTACTCCACATAAAGGCAAAAGTATTAAATCAAGATTCAACCAACTTGATGTCGGCTACCGTAGTAGCACCTGTAAATAATTGGTTGCATTCACTTTTTAGTCAACTTGATGTTTATTTGAACCAAAAACTTGTATCACCACCTAATAATACCTATGCCTATCGAGCATACATGGAAACCCTTTTAAACTATGCACCCGCTGCTAAAGAATCTCATCTTACTTGTAGTCTTTGGTATGAGGATACAGCAGGAAAAATGGATTCTACAGATGGTAAAAACATAGGATTTGTTAAAAGACAGGAATTAGTTACTGAAAGTAAGGAAGTAGAAATGATTGGACATCTGCATGGTGACATTTTCAATCAAGATAAATTTTTAATTAATGGCGTTGAAATGAGTGTAAAATTAATTCGTTCAAGAGAGAGTTTTAATTTAATTGCTGGGTCAAACGATGTAAAGTTTAAAGTTTGCATTACAGATGCAACTCTTATTGTTCGAAGAGCACGCATTAACCCAAGTGTGTTACTTGCACATCAGAAAGTTTTAGCTTCTACTACTGCTAAATATCCTATTACTCGAGCAGAAGTCAAAGTTTTAACAATTCCATCGGGTGTTCAAGGAAAAACTCTTGATAATATATTCCTAGGACAGGTACCCAAAAGATGTATAATCGGGTTTGTGAACAATTCTGCATTTAATGGTTCCCTTACTAAAAATCCATTTAATTTTGAAAACTATGGTATAAATTCTTTCAGCTTATATATTGATGGTCAACAAATACCTTCAAAAGCTTTACAACCATCTTTTAATAATAGTATATTTACATCAGCATATCATACTCTGTTCTCAGGAACTGGTATTCACTTTCTTAATGAAGGAAATGCAATCTCTCGTGAACAGTATGCTAAAGGTTACTGTCTATTAGCATTTGATTTGACACCTGATTTGTCAGCTAACTCATCATCTCATTGGAATCTCATAAAGCATGGTAGTGTAAGATTAGAAGTGCGATTTGAATCCTCACTAATACAAACAATTAACTGTATAGTGTATGCTGAGTTTGATAACATTATTGAAATAGATAAAAACAGAAATATTACTGTAGACTATAGTAGTTAAGTAAGTTATAATGTGTGTTGTGTATTAGGTTTATGTATTATTCGTAATGCATGTTATGTGTATGTAAGTTTAAGAAATATTATACAATTAAATAAAACAAATTATATGCAGTATATCATTTTTTATTTCATTATAACCCCTTATTTAATTTTATATAAAACACTATTTGAGTTTAAGCTTTACATAAGCACACTCACTAAACCACTGAACATGTTGCTGCCAAGGATCATCATCATCTTCCCAATCTTTTAAACCACCACCACAATGGAAACATTTGGTCCTGTCTCCACATCCAGTATAAAAGAAACCGGCTTCTGCAAGATCTTCAGGTTTCTGTCGCATAGCGAGAGGCCAGTCTTCAAAACTGAGCAACCGTCTAGATTTTGAACTGAAGAATGGATATTCAGCACTTAGGTACTGAATGTTCTTCTCTTTTTCTTCTCCACTGAGCATTGTAACCTTACTATTCAATGACGTGTTCTGTACATGTATACCACACTCATCTCTCCCTTCTGCACTTGTCATTCTCTCACGATCACAAGACAACTGGTCCTTTACACCACTCATTATTAATATATTATAGTCTAGCAAAGGATTATAAAATCAGATAGAATCTAATGAGTACACAGAAGTAATTTAAGGAAACAGAATCACATTCACTAATGATTGTTATTGTTAAAAAAGTATTTTTTAACTGTTTCACTTTCTGCTATTGTCTTTGTAATATTGTATATGAGGCTGTTTGTGTCATCGTAGATGCTATCATTATTATTCTTTATATAATATTTAATCCTCGTGGTGGCATGTTTCCAATGATCAGTAGTTGGAATCTTACATAGTTTCTTCATATCATACATTTCAACTTTTATTAGATGCGTCGCTTGGTTTCCGTCATCGGAATTAGTAGAAATGTATGATACACCATCTCTAGAGGCTCGTGCCACGGTTGATGATAACAGTTTCTTCTTTTTTATTTTTGGCGCCACTTCAAAAAACTGATCAAGCGCCGGCGATTTCCTTTTTACACCATCGCGTGTGTTATTAATCACGATGTCATCACTCTGTTCTTCGCATTGAGGGGAGAGTGACGAGTAGTAATACTGTTTATATGTATTTTCATCGAAGTTGAATGATTTCTGCAACAACACAGTTATCATGTTAATATCAATTTATTTACGCTTATGAAACACCACACACACGTTAGGAAACAGAAAGAAAAGAAAGTTTGTTAATAGAATATAAACACTTACCTCCATGGGTATTGATGAGTTGAAGTAACACACGTGTAGTATTGGTAGACTATATGCAATTCACTGCGGTCGAGCGACCATAGACTGATTGCATGCCGGCAGTTGTTCGACCTTATATAGTTATTTCTTATCTAAAGCAAATTCCTAAGCACACGAAAATTTATGACCCATCCCTTCGTAGCGCGTTATCTCACATCCCCTCGTGGCGCGTTATCTCACATTCCTTTCCTAAGCACACGAAAATTTATGACCCATCCCTTCGTAGCGCGTTATCTCACATCCCTTCGTGATGCGCTGCACAGTTAATGTTTATGTTGCTAATAGACTACCCATGTATATTCATGTACCAACGTGTATAATATGCAATTTGGATACGAATGATAAACGAGTTCCATGACTCATCACAAAAGAATGCGATTTAATAATTAAAAAGCACTATAATTGAACATTCCTAGGTTATCCATTGAATAGATTGGTACTGTATAAATGTACCAATAGCAGTAATATCATGGATACACTAGATGTTCAGCGACATATGAAAAAGATTCATCCTAGTCTAGAAAATAATGTTTATGCTGCTAATAGACTACCCATGTATACTCATGTACCAACGTGTATAATATGCAATTTGGATACAGATGATAAACCAGGCTCACACTGGGTAGCTTTACATATCGATACGAATAGCATAGGTGAATATTTTGATTCATATGGACGAACACCTACACGATATCATCTAGAGTTTTTAAAAAGGAATTGTAAAAGATGGGTCTGGAATATTAATAGGATTCAGAATGATTGGACTTCAGTATGTGGTGAATATTGCTTAATGTATTTGCAATATAAGTTTCAGGGATATTCAATGTATAGTTTTACGAACATATTTACAGGGAACACATTGTACAACGATATTTTAGTGGATGAGATGTTCCGCTCATATTTTATAGAGAACTAGCAAACCAGGCCCACTTCGCTGGGCGTAAGTTAAAAGAAATTAAACGGGTTTTATAATTTTAGGTTAATTTAAATAGTTACTCCATAGAACCTTAGGTATCTATCAGTGAAAGACATACAGACAAAAATTGTAAAAACTGTTTTTTTGATGTTAGTATGTTATATACTTTGATATGTGTTTAATTAAAAACTGAGAATTTGAAATGAAAAACAGACACTTCAATGTTATGTATGTGTATAGATATGTAATAAAATTATGAAATGAATAAATAAAAATTGTTAGATGAGTGTGTTTTACTTATGATTTAGAGTAGCATGGTAGTTGATGACCAATAGAAGTATACAATCAAATCAAATATTATAAAATCATATATTATAAATAGTTATTTCTTACCTAAAGCAAATTCCTAAGCACACGAAAATTTATGACCCATCCCTTGTTAGCGCGTTATCTTCGGAACAATAGATAAGGAGAGCAACGGAGCGCTAATGAGGGTGCGAGGCCACCGGATATCAATCAGATATTTCCTAATTGATTTCCACATCTCCAGAACCGCGCATCGTACGCAAAAATGGATCGCAGATTCGTGATCAGAGCATGCCAAAACCTTTTTTTTTTTTTTTTTTTTTTTAGGATCCGTAACTCGAGAATCGACCGTTGCAAAACAGAATCGTCCGTGAGTTAGCCCGTCAGTACCGAGAGTAAGTTTGCCAGATTGCACCGGTTCTGGCTCACGGGTTCTGGCTCACGAGCCAGAACCGGTACAAACTAACTACTCATACATATATTTTAATTCTAAAGATCTATCTATAGACATCACACATACGCGATAGCCTTGTTTTATTTTTTGTAATTTGACTACACTATTATCTGGCGGTTCACATGAGACACCTACCCATCTAAATAACTCATATCGCCTCTGAGAAGAATAGCTATAACATACGGACACACGGACATGACGAAATTATGAAGGGTTCCGTTTTGTACTTTTTGGCCACAGAACTCACCAACAACACAAACAAACAAACAAATATATATATAATATTCCATTTTAAATAACTTTAGCTTTATTTATACTTCACACAAACATCCCTGACGCATATATTACAAAAGTATGTTAATTCATAAACGTGAAAGACAGTATATTATATGATACATAACAAAATCCAACATGAGCTCACCGATTTATTTTGGCAACTGGTGCATGCTGATTCTGTATGTAGCTCGGTCCGATGAACACTAATTCTTGCAACTTCTGCGTATCAAAAAATCTGCGAAGAAATATTATATTGCAATAAACTGAAATGGATGTAAGTTGGAGATAGTACTATCTTAGATTTACGCGTATATTTGACATCTATACTAATATTATAAATGTGAAAGTATGTTTGTTTGTTTGTCCTTCTTTCACGTCGAAACGGAGTGACGGATTCGCGTGATTTTTTGTGTGTAGATAGCTGGAGAGCTGGAGAGTGACATACGCTTTTTACCGCGGGAAATTATCTAATTCCCAAAAAAATATGATCAAAATTACTTGAAACTTGGTATTTATGTGAAGTTACAAACACATTTACTCACTCACACACTTTCACATTTATAATATTAGTTAGATGAAATATATATGATTAAATTCCTAAGCTAAGCATAATATATGTATGTAGTATAAATTCTGTGAAATTTATATTTTATACCTATGTGTATAGAAGACCGTTACCGCAGACATTTTGAATATAAAGTAAAACATCCTGTTATGAAAAATAAAATTTATGTACAAGTTATAAAACGTTATAGGCGTTATTAAAATTCAAGCAAACCTACCAAGTGAGGAAGCAAAACTAGATTACAAAATATACTACACAATTTGAATTGTTAAACGAATATCGTAAATGTTACGAAATGAACGCTGATCGACTTTCTCTTGCACGAAGAAAGTTGGCAAAATGTATATGTAAATAAATGTGCATAATCAATTACAGTGGCATCTCAAATGCAGTTTTACAAATTATATCTCATTATAGAGCCCTCGTCTTGCTTGAGTAAACTAAATTATGCGGTCAAAGGAAAGTTCAGATTATAAGTAGGCAGTCTGCTTTACGACATATTATACTAATGTAACGCATGACAACATTCTCTCTATTTGTAAATCATAATCATTATTAAAGGATTTAACAAAATATAATATACTAGCAGAACCCGCAGCTTAGCTTGCGCTAAAAGTACAAAAAAACACTCTAAAAAGGCAGGTTTCATACATACTCTTATTACCTATTTAACCCCCTTATAGGATGAATTTCGAAAACTGCTAAAACACGTATTTCTTTAATTGTATTGAAGAGCATTAATACCAAGTTTCTAGTAATTCTGATAAAAATATTTTTTTTTAGTTGTATTACAACGTGTTTTCCAGTAGGAGTGAGATAATCTCTGGCGATAAAAAGTAGCCTCCAGCCCTCCAACTATCTCCACACAAAAATCACGCCAATCCGTCACTCTGTTTCGAGGTGAAAAAAAGATAGACAAACAAACAAAAACACTTACACATTTATAATATTAGTATGGATTTTAGATTTTTTTAGTTACAATCAATTTATATTAAATATTAATCATTATAAAAGGAACCAGTCACTAGATACCGATTTCGATGATATTCAATAAAATGATTAGTTCGCATTCTAAAGTTGTTCTTTTGTATAATAGAGATATATTAACAATGTTTTAGATGCTTCTACACTGTATACCATTGATCTCTTTCAATACGAAAGCTTTAAAGTTATCTAGTTAGCTTTCTTGATAGATTTGTTTGTTTAGCAAATTGGCATGATTTTTACCTAATACTTTATAGCTAAAACAATTTTTGATTACTAAAAATGGTCCTTTTATTTCAAATAAAACGTTTTCTTAAAGAAAATAATTAGTGCAAATTTATACTTTAACATAGTAAAATAAAATTTATACTTTAACATAGTTAAATAGCATAAAAGCTAGCGTAAATTATTTTAAATTTTAATGTTTATTATATTTTTAATACACTCGTTAAGTATATTATTTTGTTATCTTATCATTTGTTATCATATTTTACATTATTTTACCATTTTATAGCAATTAACTTAATTAATTCAATATCACGTTTTTATTTTTTATTCTATTTTTAGTAGCAATGCATGTAATTTGTTTGTTAGTGTTATAGGCAGCTGCAATTGACAAACATACAAACCATTATTACTTAAGTATTGTAGTGATTAAGAATGATGTTGAAAAATTGTGTTGATATCCTTGATAAAAAAAAACTTATAGGTACATAATGCTACCCTATGGAAATGAGATTAAACTATTCCAGATTGCTTTATTGCAAAATATTTGTATACCTATCTTCTCAAAAACTATCAAAACTAGCACAACTCTCATATTACATCAAGCATCAGACATTCATAAAAAATTGTTTGCAACTATTGTAATTAGGTATTTAAAGAAACTTTGTAATTGACGATAACATAAAGTGACTGTAATGAAATCTGTAGAACATAATCGTTATGTGGTTTTTAGAAGGGTTGATTTTATTTATTCATAATATGCTTGCGAGAAAAGATAGAAACATGATATTGAAAAAATGTACGTTTGGTAATTTAATAAAAAGTACCTTTAATAATAGCTCGTCAGTTTTTTTTTAGATAGTACAAGATGGTGCCAGCAAATGTGATTTAGCAGAAAATAAATAAATATACAAACTTATATGTCAAGTATAGCTAATATCGACCTCTAAATCCGACAACTGCATCGATTTTCTTCAATTCAATTCTTTATGTTTGTGGCTTCTAGGATCGATTTTCTTTTGTTTTCACTATCATTTGGCATCATCAGTAACAATTCGCATGTCTACCAGTGCCAAGCAAACCGAAGTATCTAAAGCAGTTTTGTTAAATATGTGTCGGGTTAGTTCAATTATACTACACTAATGTAGTCAATCTTAAAAGAAATGGACACAGAAAAAAGGGGAAATAACTGTAAGGCAGACTGTAAACTGTGTGCCTCGCAGCTGTAGTATTTTCATATACGAAGGAATCATTTCCAGCATAATTACCACTTGGAATACGGTGAAGGAAAATATATTGAGGAAACTTGCATGTCTAAGAGAACCTACCTAGTTTTCGAAAGAAATGTGTAGTCCGCACACCCGTATTTTGCCAGCGTGGGGGACTTGACCTTGACTTGACCTTTTTATTTAGCGGAAGCTGTGTCCAGAAGTAGATCATTTAAAAGGATCGAATACATATTATTTCAAATATATTTCTTAAGTTGAGCCAGATTGTCTTACCAAGTAGATATTAATACTATTTGTTTAATCTGTAAAGATATCTTTAGATAATAATTGACGTTACACAATAAAGCGTGACCATACACGAGTGCTGCAACACGCAAAGAACGTCCAACAAGTGTCCAATAATGATGAACATTCCCACTTCCCAGCTTACTTTGCAAGGGTTTTCGTTAAAAGAAATTAAAAGATATAAATAATATGTCCTGTTCGACTGATGATATGTTGACTTTTCTACGTAAACAAAAATGAAAAACCATTACAAAATGATTTTTTAAAATCAGTAGAAAAAACAAAATGCATCTTTGTATGTGAAAAATAATCTATACATATAATAAAATTCTAACTAAGCCGAATCTGTACATTCGATATTTTTTGGAAAATCTTATTGAAATAGATATTATTATCGATACAGAGGCCAAATCTATAGTTCTTAGAATTTTTGTCTGTCTGTTTGTTACCGCATCACGGAAAAACCACTGGAGAGATTTTGATGAAATTTGGTATAGTGATAGCTGGTTATCCGGGTCAACATATAGGATACTTTTTACCGCGGGAAAATATCTCATTTCTGAGAAAAAATACAAAAACTGCAATGTAAGAGTACATATACTAAGACGTAAAACCTAAGAATTTGATTTTTGGTTATCTGAACGCGGGCGGAGCCGCGGGCAATGCTAGTAATTTCATAAGTTTATTTAAAACTTGATATAAACGCTCTTCGACGCAACCAGTTAACATTAGTGCATGTTGTGTTCTCCAGTAATTGGGGGTACATTTTAAACACTGTCCAAAGAGCTTGTATTTTTTTTTATATTTAAAAATATACTTTTGTTGGAGATCCTTAATAAATAAATAAATAAACATACATATGTATGTACCTATATCAAATAAAAAGTTTTAAACAAAAAATTAAACCGACTTCCAGGCACTAAAATGTAAAAAATAACTAAACGGAGGTTTTCATTTAGAATAGATACCTAATCAGATATTTTCGAAGTCGGTTCAGGCATCTTCGAGTAATCGGTGAACATACATAAAAAAAGACTCCGACGAATTGAGAATCCTCCTTTTTGGAATTTGAAGTCGGTTAATAAAACATAAAGGAAATCCGAGAACATCCGGGTGAAGCCGGTGAATATAATAATATTGTCGTCAGCAGATAGAATGGACGCACACATAAGACGTATTCATTTACGTGATTAAAAATGAAGAATGCAACCTTAGCAACAGTATTGATTGTAATGTCTCGCATGTCACAACGTAGACTAATGCGTGACTCGTATGTAACCGAGACGTATAGATATTAGGTCTCGTATATTTGTGACTTCAATGACCTTTCTTCGCCAGTGCGAAGGCAGTATATGCTCGGTAATTTTATATACATTTCATACAGATTCTTGTGCTATAACCGCTTCGACTAACTAGAGAGAAAGATGCCAAGAACTAAAATCTCTACATTTTCATCAATCTTCTCAAGCATTTCTATTGTTTTCTACAATTTTAAAACAAATATTCTCGATTTTTGGAGAAAAATCGCGTGCGTATAGTATATTTGATGAAATCTCATTATGAAAAGGTGGTGAAAAAATATGCACATATAAGGGCCCAAAGCAGCTTTGCCAGCTTCCCAAGAATGCATATAACTAAATATCCTTCTGTTGCTCTGGTAGTAATTTAATATCAGATACATCATAAACTAGCTTTACATTTCTAACGTTTCATAGCAAAATTTTTACTTTCGTAACTTTCGATTTTTTTAATAGAAAGTATCTTTGTAATGATAAAATATATGCACGTGTTATATAATTTTTGCAACAATTTAGGTTTTTTTCTTCAAACATTTCTACAAAAATAGGCGAGTTATCGCTTACAAATATAAAATATAGCCCTCTCATCTCTACCTGTCAACACACTATTAATCCATACATTCGTAAATATGTCTGAAATCTAGAGATTAATTTTGTATCAGTTATGAATATTATCAACTTAAGACGCCATTTAGAGTAAACTTGTGCCATTTAGGGATGCTTCGAAGTGGACGAAAAAATCATGTCCAATTTGGTTTCTAAAAGACATTGGCAGCAGGTTCAAACTTGTGAAGAAAAACTTCACGAGGCTAAATGAATGTTTGAGAAAACCTAACTGGATTTAGAAAGAAATATGAATAGGACCTGATCCCTCTCACATGAAATAGAGGCCCGTGCTCAACAGTGAGACGAAAAAGAGTCGAAAAAAATAATTAATTTTGGTTATTTATTCTATAGGCAAAACGTACATCAATCACAATATTGATGACACGTTTGGCTTAGTTTGTAGTGACCCTACTTGCTCTGCCAGTGGTCGCGGGTTTGAGTCCCGCTGGGAGCATTCATTTGTGTGATGAGCGCGAATGTTTGTACACCAGTAATGGGTATTTATATTTATATGTATTTGTATATGTATGTATTTAAAGTTAATAAGTTAAATATATGTGTAGGTAGTGTATCTACTATATGGTATCCATAACACAGGCCTCGTAGTTTATCATGGAACTAGATGGTGCTGTGAGTTTATGTCCCAACATATTAATATTTATTTATTTTACAGCTATTACAGTTAACTTGTTATTTACAAAGAATTTTTATTTAAATGCGTATTGTATTACGTTGAACCACTCATACGTTTAATCTTATTTGAGTAAATCGCATTGCATAACAGTGCATTACACGGACGACAATTACTAAGTAGATTAGGTAATATGTTGTTTGTTGCGTTTACTTTTGTTTTTTCTCGACGTCTTTCTACAAATGGATGTGAAATGTAAGTTAGATAAAAATAAGGTTTTGTTTCGATACATTTTTTTATATACATTGTACATGTATGTAAGCTTATTAATTCTACAATACTAGATAGATAGAGTATAATTCCTTCACGACCGCGGACACGCCGGCGTTACAGTTAACAATAGATATCTTAGAAATTTAATTAATTTCTTAGAAATTTACCTGGAGGTGTTAAAAGCAGATTCTAGAATTCTTATTTTGTGGGGCCACTTCTAAGTATTTTTTTTTAATTAAAATGTATAATTAAAACTTACTAAAGCAATATGCAAACATCGATCGATCGATTTCGTATATAAAATAATTCTATACACAAAATCCCCAACACTCGTATTATACTACAAAATGAGGTACGAAACAGATAAAACGTAAGGTATTATACAGTTTTAATGATGTCTCGAGTCGATGTTCTGTTCGATATACTCGCTATTATAAATGGCAGCTAATGTCTTACACTTTTGCGGAAATGTTGAAGGTTGTGAGGTAAAATGTATCTACTATGGCGACATTTTATTTTCCAGTTTTAATACAATGTAAAAAGTACCATGTAATGCATTTTAATGCTTTACATACTTTACGCTTATATTCCTTTAATAGATACGTTTTAAATTAAAATGGATATAGTATGTTATCCTTAAGAGATAGACATATGCCATCACGGACTTTTCTGTAGACCTATATGAGATACACAATTCCACCATACATTATTTTGTTATATCTCAAAGGGTTTAGGCAGCGTTTTCGTTGAAAGCTCCCAGACGTCTTATTTTTTCCGACACCTCCAACAAATATCGTTATATTTTAGCCAATGTATACAAAAACAACAAATTATATACTAAAACCTTCCTCTTGAATCACTCTATCTATTAAAAAAACCGCATCAAAATCCGATACGTAGTTTTAAAGATTTAAGCATACATAGGGATATAGGGACAGAGAAAGCGTCTTTGTTTTATACTATGTTGTGATATTCCTTTATAATGTGTTTTTATCCAACAAAAGTAAGGTACATATTATGCCGTATGCGAATCTGATAGGTGCTGGTCGAGCAAATTACAATATGTAGTGCAATGTTGATAAGATTATGGAAAGCTATAGATAATAGAAAACGTTTTTAATTTTATTATATAATAACTAGGCTCACCCTCGGTTCGTTACGGTTTGTCCATAGGTACGTTTTAACGGTTCGTATGGAATAGATTGACTATATTATATTATTTATATACACAGATATGATATATATAGTTAAGATCAGTTGTTGTGGGTTGTATTATAACGTGTTTTCCCGTGGGAATGAGATAATCTCCCGCGGTAAAAGTAGCCTATGTCACTCTCCAGTCCTCCAACTATCTCCATAGAAAAGATCACGCCAATCCGTCATTCCTTTTCGACGTGAAATAAGGACAAACAAACACACTTTCACATTTATAATGTTGATGATACGGAAATATGGACAAGCATCTTATTGTGGTTTCCTCCAGGTGAAAATGGAATGTAATTTTAAAACATGTTAATGGTCCATAATGTAATTTTCGACTTCAACTTTATCATTACACATCAATAAAATTGAAGCTTTTGTTTGTAATGTCAAAATAACAGCTTTTTAATAAATACATACGAAAATAAATAACGGTATGTACGACGTAATAAGAAAAAAAAATTTTTTTTGTCTATCTATCTATCTGTTTGTTCCAGCTAACCTCCGAAACGGTTTTACCGATTTTGACGGGACTTTCACTGGCAGATAGTTGATGTTGTAAGGAGTAACTTAGGCTTCTTTTATTTGAGAAAATGCATTAGGGTTCCGCGCAATAAAATTAAAACCCTAATACTTTCTTAGATTTACGCGAATGTTTGACATTATTAAATAAAACTATCTTTTCGGATTATTTCGCGGATTTATTTTGCTTTTTTTAGCTTACCCACAATTAACAAAAACTGTCTGTAACAACTATACATTCAAGACATGTAACACCTCAGTCTCTCCCGTGACCATGGATGCTGTAAAGCATTTGAAACGTCGGGAACCAAAAATCAAAATAAATCCGCGAAATAATCCGAAAAGATAGTTTTATTTAATAAAATTAAAACCCATGAAATTGCGGACAAAATCCACGTACCTAGGGACGCATCCGTGCAGCGAGGGTAAGTCGCTTGTTTACAAGTACAATAAAGTTAGAAAGAACATAAACTATTTTAAACTAGCTGACCTGACAGATGTCTTTATCATTTTTTACCGAATTTCTCAATTTTTCGGACATTTTTCCGTTGAAAATCTCATTCAGGCTATTACAAGTATTAAAAAAAATAGCCAAATCTGTCTAGCCGTTATCAAGTTATGCTCATATATCGACCGATTAGAACTAAGTCGTGCTTAACAGGTAATAAAGAAAAAAAACTTACTGTGGCAATACAAAGTTCATAAAGTTTTCCAGATCTTCCCCACAGTTGTCGATGTAGACGTATAGTTTTCTAGCGTACTTCCTGAACAGGCGGGTCACAAACAGGTTCTTTTCAAGGTGTTTCACTCTCAACTTCAGAGTATCTCTGTTATGGAGTAAATCAGTCATCAATCAATACACATTATGAAATTATGCTTCCTCATGTCGATTTAATATCCTCATTTAGTACAGTTTTTTTACAATTCTATGACACTGTATATTATTCCTTAGTCTTAGGATAAATATTGTTTATTATACTTTAATTTCCCTCTTGTATACAGAATATATGAAGGAAATAAAATTGATGTAAGTGAATTATATTCATATAAGTGAACGTGTTTAAATATAAAAATATAATCAATATGTTGTGCATGTTATTAATGTCTGGATATTTCTCATTATCTGTATAATATGTGTCATGTAATAGTATAATTTCCACACATTTCATTTAATACATGTACTTCATTAATGACTGTAAGAATTTACAGTTTGCAATTTTCCTAAATAATTAAGACATTTAAAATTGCCTATGTTTTTGCCTGGTTTCATCTTAGTTCAAGTTTTGTAATAAAAAAATTAAATACTTATTGAGAAATATTTGTCAACGAATAATAAAATATTGATTGGAAAGCAAAAAAAAATCATTCATGCAAAAAAAATCATTTAAAAAGTTTTTAAGTAATTATTATTTTCATTAAAGTCCTTCAGACAGTAATTTTTGAGACATGTAGAAAAGAATAATCATGATTTAAAAAAAGGAAAATCTATCTATTAATAAAAATTTATCAAACTTGGCCATTTTCATTATAATTCTTTTTTATTTATAACTATGAAAGTAGAATTATCATTTTACCTCTGATCATAATTGTATTGAATTGTATTCAGCCCTTTTAACGTCCCACTGCTGGGCACGGGCCTCCCTTCATACGAAGGGGATCAGGCCATAGTCCACCACGCTGGCCAAGTGCGGATTGGCGGACTTCACATGTCTTTCGAAAACTTACAAGGTTTTTCTCAGACATGCAGGTTTCCTCACGATGTTTTCCTTCACCGTAAGGCAAGTGGTAATCATGTAAGAAATGATTCGCACATGAAAATATCAGAGGTGCGAGACCCGGGATTTGAACCCGCTTCACTCGGTTTCCCAAGCGCTCGCTTGGGAAACCGAGTGTTACCACTGGGCTACCACTGCCTATACTTAATAATATAAATTACTAAATTATTCTACATATACATATAACTAAATATATGTATAACATTTCAATGCTCCCTTGATACTATAATATTTTATACTCACTTATGTCCTTCATACAACAAAATGGAACTTCTCCAATGCCTGCAAGTCGATAATGCAGCAAGCGCATCCTCCAAACTCAGATGATCTAACACGCATCTCAGTGGGAGGAGAGGCAAGCTGCCCCATCCTTCTGACATCTGTTCATATATATTTCATAAGTTATAATAAATTAAACTGTTTAGGTAATGAGAGGAATGGCTGATTATTATGCCGATTATAATGTAGTTTTATTTTTTTTTATTTTAAAAAAATTGACATTGTTTATAATATTTTTCTTAGATCATATGTACATACATATATTATGTATTTCCTATTGATTAGTTTTTTAATGTGTTGTGTAAACAAAACATTACTTATAAATAATTAAAATTAATTTCATACTTAATATTAAATTAGTTATATCATTAATATTTTCTTCACTAAAGACTTTTATGAGGCATAATATGTATAGTATTTTTTATATTTATTTAACTAAGTAATTGATTTATTTGACAAAGTTATTACACTAAAAACTAGCAGAATAAATTACATCTACAGAGAATAATTAAATTATTACTAAAATGTAAGGATAAATAAAACCACATTAATAATCTTGACCTTCACAAAGTTTGTAAAGCAATATAAAATTATGTTAAACACTAATTATGCTAAAACATGAAAACACTAATGACGACTGTCAGCTGTTTAGCAAAATGTATGACGACGTAACAGCTGTTCTCGAGAAAGTAGGCTAAATAAAACAACAAACTGCGTAAATAAGAAGTAATGAACGTATACCCTGACCTACATTAATTTAGAGACATATTTAATGTTACAATCATGTAACTAATATTACTATGTAATTAAGATTTCTGTAATACTTTTAAAACACAAACAAAGAAAGGTCATAATATAATAGAGCGATACATACCTTCAGATATGTTGATTTTTCTTACGATATGAGAATGTAAGTGTATTTTAGTTGCTGGGTTATTTATTCAACAATTTTTAAGTACGCTTATTATTTATGAATAACAATAATATATTGTTGTTTAAACGTCCATGATTAATTGTATTTTCATTTTTCGCACAAACCGAAATCGTGAAACTGCGCGAAGTTGAAGTTGTCGACTGTCGCCTGTCCTTGTCGTAAGTTGTGACTGTGTTACCAGATTTATATACTAAATACTATTTGTTATCCATGCTAAATATTATTGGGGAAGATTTCTCGAAAGGAGGGCGCCATACGTATGGCCTATTTACATTCAGTCTGAGGATAAGCAATTTAAAGTGGTATCTCTTCTAAACCTAGTTTTGTTGCTTCTATCGTGTTCGCATCTTGTGCAATGTGTTGTACCTGAAAGTTAGACCAGCTGAAGGAACGATTGAGAAGGAGAGATGCATCCTGCAATGGTCCTGAGTCCTGACTGACTGATGGATCAACACACAGCCTAAACCGTTGGTCGTTGAAACGTGAAATTTGGAGGAGATATTTCTTATTCGATTAGATTTTCGATTCGAGATCTCGAGATTAGAGATTCGAATTTTTCAAAATTCATCTCATAAGTGAGTAAAATGGGGGATTAAAGATTATATGAAACTCTGTCATTCTTAATGTGAAATACACAAAAAGTGGTGTTTAGCTGTAAGATAAAAAATAAGAAATATATTTATTTGTTTTTTTTCGCAACTCATCCCTTAAAGAGATTAAAGGGTGAAGGGTAAAAGGGGGATAAAGGTTATATTATGGAAAAAGAATTATTTAGAAGAAAAAAGAAGAACTTGAAACTTGGTACTAAATTAATGCTCTTCAATACAATTAAATAAATATGTGTATAGCAAATTTTGTTTTTTTGAAATTCAATCATTCAAAAGAAGGGAGTATAATGGGGGATGAAAGTTAGTATGAAACTATAATTAATATGTAAAAAAGTACAATAAATAAAAAAATATTAATCTGTTGACGATTTAAGAGTTTTAAAATCACATTCTGCAAAATGATATCCACAAAGCCTTAAATATAAAAATTGTGATTTTGACAATTTTGGTCATCTTATTGCTGTAGCTCACAATTTCTTTTTTTTAGGAACAAACGATTTCAATTTCTGCCAAATTGGCATTTTAATTAAACTTTTAATAAAATGATACAAAATCCATCTAGGCTTTACAGTGTACTGAAGGCTATAGTGATCGTGACATCTGGCGGGATAAAATGGCAAAATTTTTCCCCATTACTATTCCTTATTTCACTTAAAAACTAAATACAGTATTTAAAGTACTATTATTCAAACTGAAATAAATTTTCCAATTTACTCGAAGCTAATCCAGTTTCCATACTATTTGCTTACAATATCTTATGATCTGGGGAATTACCCAAAAGTTAACAGCACTAAGTCTACAATTGACAACTCGTACTAATTTTGATATTTTCTAACATTTTTAATAGAATAAATATTTAATTTTACAAAGACCTGAATCGACAAGTATTTTTTAAGTTGATTGTAAAGATATAATAAAGTTGTCTCACATTCTGAAGATTTTTTTGCTTTTACTTTTAGGCTTTAGCTTCGTTGCTACTTGAGTTGCTTACGCTCAAACTTCCAATGTAGAATGGAAAAACTATGGGTAATTATTGTAATGAGTTTCCTGTTTAAATCGGTATAAAATGATGTCTATTTCTTTGAATACTCAAAAGTTAATTGACCTTCTATTAACTATTGATTTCTATTAACCTGAGATAGCTCAACTAGCATGTCGTTGTATACCAAAGTATAAAAATTCATACAGTTGATAGACAATTGCCCAGTAACATTAAACGGAAATGCTATCAAATGCAAAGTTTATCAAAACCACAAATTTTCACGGTGAATGATTTCGAAATTAAATCGCTGTAGTGCCATCTCATGGCGAGTTACAGTATTAGTAAACCTTATAGTTGTTAGTAAACCATAACATGCAATTTGTGAAATGGCTTTAAAAGCAAGCACATGACGTTCCACACTAGGTATCTTGACCTATTTATATGCGCACGCACGCACACCCGCACGATTGCCAAGTCCTGTGTGAAGGGTTTCGATAGATGACTGTATGGATTACTAGACTGTTGTATTACAATAAAGATATCATTATAGATTATAGAATAATGGCGTAAAATGTATATCACACATAATTTTTTTTTTATTATGGCAACATAGCTATTCTGAAGTAATGGCGGCCAAAAATCAATTTTGAATTCTGACAGATGATTGTTTGTCGCAGTTTGTAAAGAAAAATAAGGAAATGTTATTGCATGGTCTTCTTAACGCCGTAAAATGTAGTAAATAATTTAGTGGTCCCATAAATCTGTACGCTGTGTTGTATTGTGAGTCAGTGCGTAGTTGTTCAGTTGATTTATTGTAATCGATGATGTAAGATCATTGAAGGCCTTTCCCAGATTCATTGTTCGTCGGCTTTTTGGTGTATTCGTGATGGAGGGCGATAATAGTGGAGTCGGTAACCATGAAAAAGAAGAAAATGACAGTACTAGTACTCATTCTTCTCCGCAAGAACATAAATCTTTTGCAGAAATCGCAAAAGATAAATTGGATAGTGGTAAGAACTTTATTTTGAAGTAGTTTTATAAAATTTTATGTTATAAGTAGCATAAATATCAATTTAATTCTTCAATTATTATGGTATAAAAATAATTGAAATATATTCTGGCAAATACATATTTATTTAAGAGATAGCATTTTTTAATATATTTAATATTTGTAAAATATCTTTATATTATTTATACATTAACAATAAGTTAAAATTTAAAAGATATTTCTATTTGAATTGGGTTTTGATGATATAAATATATTGATGAAAGAATAACTAGATAGTTTTTGTATAAAAGTTTAGTTACAGTGAAAATAATAATTAATAGTACATTAAGTAAATTTAATTGCTTTTGTAATGTATACCATAACATTTTAAAGTTTATCAGATTAGTTAAATTTATTTCAAAATATTGAAATGATTCATATAACTATAGCTGGTCGAGAGCTGAGAAGGCGATTGCCAATGGCAGGACAGTTAGGAGCGCATTTAATGCATCCTAGAAGATTGCTACTGCATTCAACTCCTACACAACAAACTGATGTTGTGCTTATATTTCCAAAAGGTAAAATATTGTTATCTTTAAATAGTTTTATGTTGGTGATAACTTGATGAGCTTTTTTGTATATTTGTAATGGCTTAAATTAGAATAGACCAAACACACTGATTTGACTTTTTTGTCTCTAAGTTATAAACTGTGTAATATAATGTAATCAATGTGGGAAGCTTCCCACACCATTTTTGCCTTTGCAGTATTTGCAAGTTATATTTGCACTAGTAAAATCAAGAGGCCCAGAGAACAAAGCTATTTTATGTTTTGTTAAGTCTATGATTTTATTGTGTTAAGCTTAAGCTTGAATGAGTTTTTTTTTAATTTGGTATATAAGCATATTATAATTTTGTATATAAGCTTGCAGAAGGGGAACACAAAAATATTATTAAAATATTTAAACCATTTTTGAGTCATGTCAAAAGTAATCAGACAGATTGTAACTTAAAATTGATCATTCTTGTGCTTCTGTTATACATCCAATAGAAAATTTTGGAAAATGTTAATATAATAATATTCATACAATAAATAAATATATTTTTTTCTTGTGGGCATTGGCATAAATAGTGATTTGAGTTGACTGACTATTCATATAATTTTTTTTCATATATAAGCTTGAGTGATAGATGGCAATCACCACACTTATCTAAACTAGATCAAAACAAATATTTGTATTGTAAACAGGGCAACCTAGTTATTGAATGTGTAACATATCATGCATATCTTTAAAAAATATATTAATTGGTTCATCAAATTAAGGATCAAAATACTATTTGGGTAGGGTAATGTAATGAAAGTTTTAAGTGTCAACATTCAATAGATTGCCATCCTATATGATGGCACATGTCTTGACTGTGTTGTGAAGTAGTAAACTGTAAATAAATATACCTACGCTAAATATGAAGCTATGTTAACATCGTTTTTATTAAATTCATTTAAAAATTAAAATAATATTAATAATAAAATTGAAAAAAGAACTGACAAAAAAAAATACACTAGAAAGTAAGAAATAACTGATTGGTAGTTTTCATTTTTAAATAAAACTATCTTTTCGGATTATTTCGCGGATTTATTTTGATTTTTGGTTTGGAAACGTCGGGAACCAAAATTAAAAAGAAATCCGCGAAATAATCCGAAAAGATAGTTTTATTTAAAAATGTCAAACATTCGCGTAAATCTAATAAAGTATTATGGTAGTTTTCATTTATTATCAGATATTTTCGAAGTAGGTGTGCTTCAATTTTTTGTTTTATTTTTCATCTGTATTTTTTATTCGAACTTTTATTTTTACATTTGTAATGTAGACATAGTAGTAGCAAACTGCAAAGTAAGGAAAATGTATTTTAAAAATTCAATAAATGAAAAATCAAACATCCCCTATTTTCAAGACGGGTAGTTTTTTTTTCCAAATTTAAATGGGACCAATGTTGAGGTATACGCTATTCAATAAAAAAGAATCATCAAAATCGGACTACACCGTAAAAAGTTATGCGTGGTCAAACATAAAAAAAGTATACATGTCGAATTGAAAATCTCCTTTTTTTCGTCGGTTAAAAATAGTTTTTGAGAGTCAGTCAGTCAATATATTTATTTTATAAGTGAGTGCAATTTATGATGATATAATTTCAAATAGAATTGATATTAAACATACCTATAAAAGTTTGCTTGCTAAAGCTTTATTCGTTAATGTTGAACTAAGCTCGCCCATAAAAGAAGCTTATGAGCTTATCGAAAAACTATAACAGTAAATATGTATTTTATATAAAGTTTGATCTTTATATTATGAACTAGCATTGCCCGCGGCTCCGCCCGCGTTCAGATGAACAAAAACCAAATTCTTAGGTTTTACATATTAGTATACTCTTACATTGCAGTTTTTGTATTTTTTCTCAGAAATGAAACATTTTCCCGCGGTAAAAAGTATCCTATATGTTGACCCGGATAACCAGCTATCACCATACCAAATTTCATCAAAGTCCCTCCAGTGGTTTTTCTGTGATGCGGTAACAGACAGACAGACAAAAATTCTAAAAACTATAGATTCGTACTCTGTATCGATAATAATGACTATTTCATTAAGATATTCCAAAAAATATTTAATGTACAGATTCGGCTTAGTTAGAATTTTATTATATGTATAGATATTGTATATCCCTCATTGTTGTTTGTATTCGTTTCTAAAATTTCAAAGTTTTTTTAATGTAACCAAAAGTCCTTTTATCCTCTTAACTACTTACATTATAAATTCGAGTACCTGTAAATCCGTAATACTTAAACACCTTACCTTTATGTATTACGTATATATTTTCATTGAACAAACTACAATCAAGTCAAATACACTTCTTTTACAATTTTTAAAATAATTTATAGTATAGATAATTTGCAAAATGAATAGTATATAATCTAATATATTAGGCTGTCGGACATGCTTTTCATTTTTTGCGTTTTTTTAGACATTAAAAACAACCGATCATGATAACAAAGTACTGCGTATTAACGGTAAATCATACTTTATTAGGTACTAGCGACTCACCCTCGCTTCGCTCGGGTTCTTCCCTATCTTGATTCCCCATACAAACTTTCATCATCATTTTCACCCCCTTAAGGGATGATTTCCGGGATAAAAAGTATCCTATTTCCTTCCCAGGGCCTCAAACTGTCTTCTTACCAAATTTCATCTAAATCGGTTCAGTAGATCCAGAGATTACCCCCTACAACATCACAAACTCACAATCTTTACCTCTTTATAATCTTAGTATAGATAAATCAAACTATACATTTGGCAGGGCAATTTGGCACAGGAAGTACCTACTTAAAATTCCAGTTTCAGCGGCGTATGTACCGAACAGATAAGGAAACGAATTGATGAAAATTTTTTTTTGTTGTACAGTTTTTTGCCTTCTCTTTGTAGTTTTCATGATAGAAAACAATTGCTTTGTCCAGCCTTGCCTAAAGGCGATTGTCGTTTATATTTCAAATGGAATCTTTTCAGACTACAGTTCGAATGGATATACAGTTTTTTGTTACAAAAGCGTTATATTTCTTTATGTAGCGATTTTATGCAATGAGCTTTCTTTCAACAATAGTGGATATATTTGTTTATAATAATCTATATTTACTATATAAAAATAGTAAATTATAAATATAGCTATGCTAGCGGAGAAACAAAAGAATCTATCCCACAGGAACCGTACATTTTTCCGGGATAAAAAGTAGCCTATGTGGTATTCTAGACTATAATCTATCTCTGTGCCTAATTTCATTTCGATCCGTTCAACTGTTAGCGTGATTAAGTAACATGGAATACTTGATTGAGTAACATTAGTATGAATTTACTAATTTTTTTATTAAGGTCTTATTAACACAATTATAACTTCATCGCTTACCCACATAATCCTAAATGGTGATGAATAATATCCATACTTCCATACTAATGTTATAAATGTGAAAGTGTTTGTTTGTTTGTTTGTTTGTTTGTTTGTTTGTCTGTCTGTCCTACTCCCACGTCGAAACAGAGTGACGGTTTGGGGTGGTTTTTTGTGTAGAGATAGTTGACGGGCTGGAGAGTAACATAGGCCACTTTTTATCACGGGAGATTATCTTATTCCTATGGGAAAATACGCTATAATACAACCCAAAAAATAATTTATAATCAAAATTACTTGAAACTTAGTATTAATACTCTTTAATATAATTAAATAAATACGTGTTTCAGCGTTTTTCGAATTTCGCCACATAAGGGAGTAAAATAGGGGATGAAAGGTTGTATGGAACCTACTTTTCAACCGACTTCAAAAAGGAGGAGGTTCTCAATTCGACTGTGTTTTTTAGTTTTTTTTTAGTTTCAGCGCGATTGAAGCCGCGGGTTCTGCTTAGTAATGTATATTAATTTATTGCTATTCATACGCCATGTGTAAAATATTTCTTGTACGGTATTCGTCTCGCGGTTATAACTTCCACAAAAACCAACATTAATTCTCTTTTCCTATCTAATTTGAAGATAATATGATCATGATAAAAAGGAAAGTTATGTCGTAGGTCTCCCAGATAGTATGCTACTTTGGTTGCTACAAAAACTACGAGGGAGTCGACCGAGGCTGCGCGTGTGTGTGCGACAACACGCGTCTTCGCAGTGCTCCGCTTTTTATATTACCGCTGACGATGATGTGTAAGTATTAATATGTATATCTTTTTTATAAGAAATATATATTCAATCATTTTTCTATGGTAGCGGGCTTTAGCCATACGTCGTCATTTCTTTTAAATATTGCACGATGAAACTCGTGTGTATAAATAAGGGACGTTTAAAAAAATGCATATTATGATGAACTAAGATAGATGTCACAATTCCGAGGTATTTTTCCATATGAGAACTATGTGAATTATTATTTAAATGCGTTATTATTCTTTCGCGCTTCGCTAGGGTGCGATTTATTTATAGGGTGCTATTAAATTTTCCCTGTAACGGATGTCTTCGATAGTGTCCCGTCACAATAAAACCACGTTTAAAATTATAAAAATATCTCATACGGTACAATCGTTATATTAAAAATCTAAATATTATAAACTAGATTACAGAGAATAACTTTAGAAACCTAGTGAGCTCATTGTAAGGCAGAATAGTCAACCCGTGTCTAAAATTTTTTTTTCTGATGACGCCTGAGAAAAGCCGTCTTTATAACACTACTCCAGCTAGAAATGTGTCTATCTCAAGCTAACTAACCAACCTATTGTAAAGTAAAGCTATTCCCCCTCCATTACACATTTCAATCCCTGAACCACTTAACAAAACTCAAATAAAAATTCTAACCCTTAAAAATTTTTTTTCTTCAAGTGGCGACTTACATTACGAGCCACTTCATATTTGTTAAATAAAATATAATTTAACTATTCTGAAGGAATCCTATATTTTTTTGCTCAAGCGACGCTTTTAAATCATTAACACCTCCAGGTCAATTTCTAAGAAATTAATTAAATTTCTAAGAAATCTATTGTTAAATGACACGCCGCCGGCCTGTCCGCTGTTGTGGAGGGATTATGCCACTACATAGGTAGCTAACAAAAACATCAACTCTCCATCGACATCATTAAGCTGCCTTCTTTACGTCAATAATCTACGTTAAAATAATAATATTTAACAGGTCATAGTGGACCTACCATGTATTAAATTTTATCTAAATGCGTTTAATCGTTTCAGCGCGAAGAAATAACGAAAAAAAAAAACACCATAGTAGTGCGATGATCGTCATCGTTTAAAGTGATGATGTTTACGATCACATGTTTCGGAAACATGACACTTTACCCCTTTATATTGCTCATATTTTGAACACGCTTTTATTACCTTCACCTGTATCTATCTATATATATGCTAGACTCTTTGAACACGATTTTTACACACTTTCTTAACAGGCACACATTTTCAGAAAATGTAAAGAAAAGATCCAATCATATGACATAATTTTTTTCGTTATTCTTTTGCGGAAATGAGGCTTATCCATACTCTTCCTTTTAATTAAATTTGTATTTAAAATACAACTCACAGTTAAATACTTATACGTTTTTGCTTTACCTTCATCTCAAATCAAATTTATTCAGGCTTTTACAAACCGCTGAAGAGGTTCACCTTCCAAAACTACTGAAACCGGAGTTCGGTGGAGGATACAAGGAATTTACAGTTCGAGACATGCATTGCTTTCAAAAGGTAAGTTTTCTATGATAATTATAATTTAAACATATAATCGGATCGGATATGTAATCGGACTACTATTGTAATTGCGAAAATTTGTATGTGTGCGTGTATGTTCTTAGATTTGGTGGATTTATTTTGATTTTTGGTTCCCGACGTTTCGAATGCTTTACAGCAATTATGGCCACGAGAGAGACTAAGGTTTTAGATGTCTCAAAGGCATTATATACATAGTTGTTACAGGCAGCACCTCCCCACAAAATAACAGAATGAATTCAATTTTTTTTAAGAATGGCACCAAAGTACCTTACAATATTTGCTAATTTTAATTTTAAACATTTTTATAATTTTAATAAGTTTTATGAATGAATATTGTTTATTTAATTTTAGCTGTTATTATTAAAAAATAACAAAAATGAAAACAAATCTGCAAAAAAATCCGAATAGATAGTTTTATTTAAAATGTGTATGTTTGTTACTCCTTCACGCTAAACGGCTGAACGGATTTGGATAAAATTTAGTATACAGTACTTAGTGACTATGATCTGAAGTCACTCTAAGGCTACTATATTTGGCATCTAAATTGAAGAAGCGAAGCGAGAGTAAGTAGCTGGTATGATAAATTGTTGAATTAACAAGGAAATTAAAATATTACCGTGTAATTAACGACTGAAAAAATATACGAAATTTTTCGTTCATAAAAACGAAACGATTAACTAAGACATCCCTCTTAAAATGTAACAAGATGTCACGGAGATATAAATAAAGTTTAGTGCTTGAAAAGAATTCTTCAAAGACGCTACTCAAAACGTCTCGTATTTCAGCCGTTCTACTCTCTTATGATTATGAGCCACATTGTTAATGACCCTGGCCTAAATTTATCAATAGCCTAGATATTTTGTTTGCGTTTGTGTAATAATTAAGGTTTATGTTCTATAATAATCTGTAATATTATAAAGAGGTAAAGTTTGTGAGTTTGTGACGTAGTATCTCTGGATCTACTGAACCGAATTAGATGGAATTTGGTAGGAAGATAGTTTGAGACCCTGGGAAGGACATAGGATACTTCTCATCCCGGAAATCATCCCTTAAGGGGGTGAAAATGGGGATGAAGTTTTGTATGGGGAATCAAGCTAGGGACGAACCTGAGAGAAGCGAGGGTGAGTCGCTAGTGTTCTATAGTACAAGTATGTTCAACTAGATTTGACCCGTGAATTTTTTCGCACGATAGTTTCGATTAAAAGTCGATATAAACTACTTCTATTTCTGATTTCATTCAAATACGTTAGAAATTATTGTGTAGTAACAAACACTCATAGAATTATATAAATATAATATTACATGCGACTTACCCTGGCTTCGCTCGGGTGCCTCTCTAGGTACGTTTTAAATGACAAAAAAAATAGTTATCGTAATTGTTCTTTAGGTAATTGTTTGGTTGGTTACTAAATTTTAAATATTTCACCCCTTTCAATATTTGTTTTCTTGACTAAAAATAGCCTATGTCCGTCTTCAAGATCCCATCTATTTTTATACTAAAATTCATCAATATTGGTTCAGTGGTTAAGGCGTGAAAACGAAACAGACAGACAGACAGTGTTACTTTCGCATTTCTAATATTAAAGAGTTTGGGTTGTACAGAAGTAAAATGATTGTACTTTATTCATATTGTATTTTATTCATCGCATCTTATAAAGCTTATGTTGTCAATAGACACACATTCGACTCCACATATGAATAGCTTTATTATACCTAGATTTTAAAAGTAAGATATAATAAAAAAAAGTTTTTTTTAGTAGTGGATATGAAAGTACTAAGTTTGGCTGTTTACTGCTTATGCTGAAAGCTTGCCATATTATCGACTATAATCGATAGCTTTGAATTATTCATGTTTCATAGTTCGGTCTTCAACAATAGAAATAAATTTATATTTTTAAAGACTGACAAATAAATCCAATTTGTTTGGTAAAACTAAAGTTTCCTGAGTTGTTGTTTTAGAAATACCTGTAGTATTATTTGAGTAAAGTATATTTGTTTTAAATTATTCGTGTACATAATTATTTACATGAATTTATTTTATGATAAATGCTTTGTTAAGTTTCTCGCCGGCTCTTCTCAGCAAAACTGCTGTTCGAGCCGTTGGTAGCTTACGGTTAGCTCTCGGACTGACTACACCGTCGCTCTTTCAATTATATTGACGATCCAAAAGTGCTTACAATAAGTCTATTTAAAAAAAGTTTCATTTCATTTGTTTACGAAATGTTTACGAGAAACTTTATTCATTTAGGATAACTATAGTGTACAGTTACGTACTATGCACCTAATGTGTAGAATTACTTACCTATTAATATTATGTAATTTCAATAAGTAGATTATTGGACGTTAGATGAATTATTTATGAGAAAATGGTCAGTGGAAGTTAATATGAAGCACATATATTTATGAGTTGAATAAATTTATCGATAACTTGTTACAAAGTTTCCTAAGCTATCACGAATTAATCCCACAAATTAATGATTTATAAATTATTGAATACGAATACTATGTATACGAATGTCTCAAGGGATTTGCGACTTATGACCTCTTAAGAAAATATTCCTCTTATAATTATTATATCTATAGTCTATACATATAATAAAATTGTAACTTAAACTTGTTAAATCTTATTGAAATAGACATTATTATCTATACAGAGGCCGAATCTATAGTTTTTAGAATTTTTGTCTGTCTGGCTGTGTGTCTGTGACCGCATCACGGAGAAACCACTGGAGGGATTTTGATGAAATTTGGTATGATGATAGTTGGTTATCCGGGTCAACATATAGGATACTTTTTACCGCGGGAAAATATCTCATCTCTGAGAAATCTATACTAAATGTTAAAACGTAATTCTAGGGACAAACCCGAACGGAGTGAGGGCGAGTCGCAAGTATTTTTTAAAGGGATAGAAACTCTTTGAATCTTTTAAGTTAAAGAGTAATAAGGTTTAAGTAATAAGGTTGAGTGGCCTTGAAATTCTAGTTTCTAGGTCTAGCAATTGAGTCATTGTCTCGATACTCAACGTATGATATAGTAAATCGCTACATATATGTAAAAGGTATGTCTACAAATTTCACGAACGCATAATTAATTTAATTAAATTGAAATTTTAACACGTAATACTTGAATAGGTATTTGATTTTAAAATATAATATAACATAATTAAAAGATTTAGAAGTACTCAGATGTAGATTTCTGTAAGATTAAGCACGTTGGGTCGACCTCTTTTCCACGAGTCTTTAGTACACATACCTGAAATAAATCTTGAGATATTTGATATTGCATTCAAAACCTCGGAATTATAGTAATATTGAAGGCAATGTGTTTTAAAATTGTTTTTGATGCAGATTTTTATCTGACAAGAAAATTATTAGTAAGGAACAAGTTTAAAGTATATTTATTTACGCCAATATTTGACATTTTAAGTAAAACTATCTTTTCCGAATTTTTTCGAGGATTTATTATGATTTTTGGTTCCAGACTTTTCAAATGTTTTACAGCAATCATGGTCATGGGAGAGACTTAGGTTTTAGACGTCTCAAAGGTCATTATATGTTTGTTACAGACAGCCTACCCACAAAATAACAAAATGTATTCAAAAAATACAAAAATTGCACCAAAGTACCTACCTTACAATATACAAAAAGAACTAAATCTATAAGGAAAGGATCGTTCAAACGAACAAATCACTAAATTGAAGAATTCGATAATACATAATGTACTGGACATTGGGAAAGCTTTTATCTTACAAAAGATCAGGGAGGGTTCTAATGTGATAGATTTGAACATTTTAGCGTCCTCGTTTATCTTCCGAGTCTGTTGACTTTAAGCGATCATCGCTCATGTCACCATATTAGAAAAGAAGTTACGAAAACTAATTTTTTGTTAATATCTTTTTTTAAGCGCCGAAATTATAAAACCTAAAATTCTTGGAACTTTTATAGGGCACAATTCAATTACAGGTGTACTTGACAAATTATAATTCAGTTAAATACGAACATTAATGTAAATACAAATGGTAAATTAGGATTCTCCTTGACCTTTGGACGAGACTCGAGAGCCTCTTTTTATGTTGTATGTATATATATATCGTGTATATGTCTGATCAATGTAGACATTTAACGTTGGTATTGAAACATATTAATATTTTAATATACTAGCTTTTTACCTTCGCTTCACTCGATAGGGGTACTAGTAATAGCATATGTACTCCAGGTTGGCAGGTATTAGTATATCTTTATACTAATTTAAACCCAACCAGTCGTTTTAGTATGAAGGTGTATAAAAAATATACATACAATATAATATAAACTTTCGCATTTATAAAAATAGTCATTTTTAACCGATTTCCAAAAAGGAAGAGGTTCTATGTTAGTCTCTATGTATCTTTTTTTAATCTGATATGAATATGAATACCTACAATTAAAATGGTATAAATGCAATTATTGGTAAAAATCTAAGGGTACGAGTGCATCAGAACTGCTAAGTTCCCAAGAACGGGGGGCTCTAGTGAAACATGTGTTGGAATCGGCTCGAGCGGAGCCGGGTGATGAGCGTGCATTGGAACCAGCGTTGACATTGCGACCTGGACAGAGCATTGGTGAGATGGTTTATGCATTTTTATTATTTGCCCGTGGCCCTGGACGTGTTAAGAAGATAAATTGTACCTTATATGATAATATAAGATACGAGTATATGCCACTTTCATTCGGAATTTCATTTTATTGTATTTTAATTATCTAAATCGATAAGATTGTTATATTATATAATATACTAGCGGACCCGACAGTCCTGTCTACAATGATAACAAAACTTTTTTTTATTTGATCGCAGCGCTAACTGTCGGGACAGACTAATATTAAAATTCGAATATTATTTAAAATTTGACACTGCGATGGTAGCGCCGTCTGTCGGATCCAATGTAAAACATTCCAAAATCAACAACTACTAATCAATTAAAAAATAATTAAAAAAACATTGTCCAGCGGACAAAATTGTGAATCTAAACCATTCCCAGATCCCCTTGAACACACACAAAAAATTTCATCAAAATCGGTCCAGTCGTTTGAGAGAAGTTCAGTACACACTCACAATACACACTCACAGAAGAATTATATATATAAAGATTTATTCAGCCCTGTCTAGAATACTTTTATTGTATATAGTATATTTATCTTTTACATATCTTTCATGTCGTCTCTTATATAGCTTTAATATATTTCAAAGATACAATAATTTTGATTTTACAGTGCCAGCATGTGTGAGTCGAGGTGTAGTGGCGAGTATGTTCCCATTACACGAACGGACCGCTTTAGAAAATTTACGAAAGAAATGGGTTAAGACGTTGTTCTCCCCGCAACCTTTGGGTGAGTTTATTTCGCGATATATCTCGTTCGATTGGACTAAAGCCAATATGATACATTAAATGTTTTACTGCTTTAGGTTAGGTACTTGCAATGTAGAATTTTAAATAAGTGTTGTTTTGAAATTTATTGAAGACTAGCGACTCACTCTGGCTTCGCTCGGGTTCGTTAATAGCTTAATAGCGTATACAAACTTTCATCCCCATTTTCAACCCCTTAAGGGATGATTTCCGGGATAAAAAGTATCCTATGGCCTTCCTAGGGTCTCAAACTATCTTCTTACCAAATTTAATCTAAATCGGTTCTGTAGATCCAGAGATTACCCCCTACAACCTCACAATCTCACGAACTCACAAACTTTACCTTTTTATAATATAAGTATACTGTATGGTTTATTAATATAATAAAAAGTGACTTGCTTTTTTCCTTTCTTTTTGAGTATCACTATTATTGATATGTTCAGAAACTAAACAAAATGGTACTTTTATTATTACATATCTGTAATATATGTGTTCGAATATAGAACACTTCAATATTTTGATAGTTGTCAATATTGATTTAGAAATAAAAAGGGATTTGAAAGCAAATGGATTTTTACTAAAATTATCCAAATATTTCATTGGCGACGAGGATTATCGAGTTCACGAGGATTGATTTATTGTGTTTAGCATAATTTGGTGACTAAACAAAGAATAAATAATGGCAGAACGTAATATCGGTTCAACGTTTGGTGGTAATGTTTTTTTTGACCATCATATACAAGATTGGAGCATTTTTAAAAGTCGATTCATACAATATTGTGTAGCAAATAATGTACATGATGAGACTGACAAAACTGGTGTGAGACGACGGGCCATTTTGCTGACATCTCTAGCTGAGAATACCTACCGCATCGTAAAAGATTTAGTTTTTCCGGACGATTTGGATATAATTCTATTCAAGCAGTTAATAGAAAAATTAAATAATCATTTTTCTGCAAAGAAGTGTACCTTTGCCGAACGATATACGTTTTATAAGGCGGAACAACATCCAGGTGAGGATTTAGTAGAGTGGGCAGCACGGGTACGTAGATTGTCGCAATTCTGTGGTTTCAAACTAGAATTGGAAAATGCTTTACGTGACAGATTTGTATTAGGATTGGAAAATATAAAAGAGAAAGAAAAATTATTTGCTGAAAGCATAGAACTGTTAACTTTTGATAAGGCATTAGAGCTAGCCCAAAGCGTACGATGCGCACGACAAGCGATACAGTCTACCCAACATCATGATCGAGATCAATCTATGATGCAAAGTCAGCCAGTTTTCGCTTTGCAACGTCGGCAAGCGAGAAACAGTGATAATAGTACTGCTACCCAACGGCAATGTGATGTGTGTGGTTATAAAAATCATATAAAAGAAAATTGCAGATTCATAAATTACACATGTCAGAATTGTAATAAGAAAGGACATTTAAAGAAAATGTGTCAAATAAAAATCAATAGAAATAACTTTTTAGGTACTAATGACGATGGAGATGGTGTTAATAATTTTAATTTATTTAATTTACAGAAATGTATAAAAGATGAACCAATTACATGTTATATATGGGTAAGCAACTTAAAAGTATTGTGTGAAATTGATTGCGGTAGTTCTGTCTCTATTTTACCAACCGCAATATATAATGAATTATTTAAAAATAGTCATAACAATAGTTATCGTTTGCAAATATGTAATGAAATTTTTAATTTTTATACGGGAATGAAAATATCCCCAATAGGATTTGTAGTGTTGCCTGAAGTAACATATGAAGGCCGTACTAATCCACTAAAGTTTTATGTTTTAACGTCTAATGAAAAGCGCTTGCCTCTTTTAGGTCGTGATTTCATGAGATTATTCGATCTACATCTTTGTAATCATGACTGCAAAAAGAAGGATATAAATAGCATTGAAAATAATTTATTTAATGGGAAATATGCTTTGTTATTTAGTAAAGAATTAGGTAGATTTAACAAATATAAGGTAACTTTAAAAATAAAGCCTGAGGCGGAACTGAAATTTTTTAAAGCTCGGCCGGTACCTTTAGCATTGAAACCTAAAATAGAAAAGGAATTAGATAATTTACTTGAATTAGGTATTATTGAGAAAGTAGACCATTCGGATATAGCTACCCCTATTGTTCCGGTATTACGGCCGGATGGCAATGTTAGAATTTGCGGTGATTTTTCAGTCACATTAAGTAAAGTCTTATATTTAGATAATTTTACAATACCACGTATTGAAGATTTATTCGCTAAACTTCACGGAGGCTTAGAGTTTAGTAAGTTAGACCTCTCAAGAGCTTACTTACAACTTGAGTTAGATGAATCAAAAAGGTATACTTGTATTAATACCCACAGGGGTTTGTATTGTTATAATAGACTAGTTTTTGGTTTGGCAAACGCCCCATTTATTTTTCAACGTACAATGGAACAGTTATTGGGTGATATTGATGGCGTTTGTATTTATTTAGATGATATTTTAATTACAGCTGCAACGAAAGAGGCTCATTTACAACGATTAGGTACGATTATGTACGGTACGATTTATTATTAATTGGTTTTAGATCGATTGCAAGAAGCAGGTTTAAGATTAAAACCAGAGAAATGTGAATTTTTCAAGAGTTCAATAGAGTACCTTGGTTATATTATAGATAAAGATGGGTTGCACAAGTCAAAAACTAAAGTCGAGGCTATATTAAAATGTGAGGCTCCAAAAAATGTAAGTGAGCTAAAATCGTTTTTAGGTTTAGTCAATTACTATCGATGTTTTGTGCCAAATACTTCTTCTGTGCTATACCCTCTTAATTCACTGCTAAAGAAAGGTGTACGATGGGTTTGGAGTAAAGATCAAAATGAAGCGTTTAATAAAATTAAATATGAATTAGCCTCAGAACGCGTGTTAGCTCATTATAATCCTAAATCCACCACCATAGTGACTTGTGACGCAAGTCCCACTGGCTTAGGAGCAGTGCTATCACAATGTCAACCAAATGGTTGTGAGCGAGTTATAGCATATGCTTCACGTTCTTTGACTAAAGCTGAGATTAATTATGCTCAAATTCAGAAGGAAGCCACTTCAATTGTATTTGCAGTTAAAAAATTTAACCATTATTTATACGGGCGTTCGGAGCCGTTTGTTTTACGTACGGACCATAAACCTCTTGTAGCTATTCTTGGAAATAAAAAAGGTGTTCCAATTTTAGCAGCAAACAGATTACAAAGATATGCTCTATTTTTGTCGGCGTATAATTTTAATATTGAATATGTTAAGAGCAATGATAATATTGCTGATTTTTTGTCGCGTGCTACGGTTACAGATAAACCAGATGAATCTGTCAGTATTGATCATTCCTTATATATAGATTTTATCGGTGAAGTTGTTTTACCGCCCATTACTGTTAATGATATTAGAAACGAAACTAAGCAGGATGTGGTTTTACAAAAAGTAATTGAAATGATCAATGAAGGATGGCCTCGTAAGGTATTAGACCCCAGTTTAAAGCCTTTCTTTTTGTGTAGAAATGAACTCTCATTTGAAAATGGATGTATATTACGCGGATATAAAGTAGTAATTCCTACAAGCTTGCGACAGAAACTTTTAGACGAACTACATAGATCACACTTTGGTGTAGTTAAAACAAAGTCAGAGGCAAGGTCGCGTATGTGGTGGCCAAATATTGACAGAAATATTGAAGAAAATATTGGTTCTTGTAAAGTTTGCAACTCGCATAGAAGTAACCCTCCACATGCGCCACTTGCATCTTGGCCTTATCCTAAAGGCCCTTGGGAACGTGTTCATTTAGATGTATTCTTATTTAATGGAAAACAATTTTTGATCGCAGTTGATGCATTTTCTAAGTGGTTGGAATGTTTTTATATGAAAAAGATTGATACTGAGTCAGTTATTAGTAATATAAGTGAAATGTTTAGCAGATTTGGATTAGTACGGACTTTAGTAACTGATAATGCTACGAATTTTTGTTCTAATGATTTTGAGGTTTTTTGTCGATTAAATGGTATTGAGCATTTAACTAGTCCTCCTTACCACCCCCAGTCAAATGGACAAGCGGAGGTAAGCGTCAAAACAATTAAGAGCGGCTTAAAGGCCATTGTAACAAATGATATGAGTTTCAGTAACTTAATGATTAAAATGCATAAGTTTTTATTCGATTATAGGAATTCTGTAAATTTAACAACTGGATTTTCGCCTGCTCAATTAATGTTTGGACGACCTCTACGTTGTCGACTGGATTTAATTCGTGATTGTACAAAACTACCTGTTTGTTTTCCTTCGTCATCTGTTGCTAGAGATAATGTTAGTAATGCTCAGATGCATCAAAGTAAGCAATTTAAAGGTAAAAGAAATGTAAAATTTGTAGTTGGTGATAAGGTACTTGTAAAACATTATTATTCTATTGGCAATAAGCAATATAGCACATGGAAAGTAGGTATTATTAATAGTTGTATCGGTTCTCGTATGTTTAAAGTTTACATACCGGAGTTAAATCTTTTTACAAAAAAGCATGTCGACCAATTATGGATGTATAAAGGAAGTTCATCATCGGATAACGATATAAGTTCCATTGGAGATTACGTAAATGAAAATCATATTTTAGAAACAAAAGATACCGCGTCCTGTGGCACAGATAAAGAGGTTGGTGATGCGAGGTTGACACCGGACTTAAATAATGAAATTTCCGATGATGAATTTTTTGACGTAGATCCACCTGATGTGCATGAACCAGTCGGTAATACGCAATCTCAGGATAATCGACGTTATCCAATTAGAACAAGTAGAAAAACTATAAATTATAAGGAGTAGCCTTATTTAATTATTTAATTTACATCTTAATTAGTGTTGGAGGAGTGTAATATATGTGTTCGAATATAGAACACTTCAATATTTTGATAGTTGTCAATATTGATTTAAAAATAAAAGGGGATTTGAAAGCAAATGGATTTTTACTAAAATTATCCAAATATTTCAATATCTTAAGGAATTGTCGGGATAAAATCAAAATCTATAGATTTGGTATATTTGGTTACCAAGTTTCATCAAAATCTGTTCGACTTGACAGGTATTGGTTGGAATTTACATGTTGTTACATTTAAAAAATATTAACATAATTTTAATTAACAGTAGAATATAAAAATTATTTTATTTCCAGATGAGATAAGTGAATATTTTGGTGTGAAAATAGCCATGTATTTCGCATGGCTCGGCCACTACACGCAGTCGCTCACGGTGCCCGCCGTTGTTGGGTTTATATTTTGGGTAAGAGTGTTGTATGTATAATTTTTTTTTGTTATATTGTTTTAGCATTTTCTATGATCTTATAATAATTTATAATGTATGAATTCTTCTTTTTTGAAAATTGGGAATTAGCAATTTTTTTTGAGAGAAACAGAAAAATTTCGTACGACCTCAAGGGTCGTATTGAAGTTGACGTAGAAGAATATCTGTTGAGTTATCTAGTTAAGTATATTTTTTTATGTGTTGGCCCAGTGGTAACGCGCTCGCTTGAAAACCGAGTGAAGCGGGTTCAAATCCCGAGTTTCGCACTTTTGATATTTTCATGTGCGAATCATTCCCAACATGATTACCACTTGCCTTACGGTGAAGGAAAACATCGTGAGGAAACCTGCATGTCTGAGAGAACCTAGCAAGTTCTCGAAGGACTTGGCCAGCGTGGTGAACTATGGTCTGATTTCTCTTATATTGAAAGAGGCCCGTGCCCAGCAATGGGACGTTAAAAAATGCTGAATACATAATACTTTTAATATTTTATATTGTCTTTTAGGTGTGGTTGGGGACAGCGAACGATTACTGGAAGGATATAGCGTACGTGTTATTTTCACTCTTCAACGTTCTGTGGGCCTGCGTATATTTGGAAACGTGGAAAAGGTATGTGATTTTTATTTTATACTAGCGGCTCACCCTCGCTTCGCTAGGTACGTTTTAAATATATATAAATAGTTATTACCCAGAGTTCGCCATATAAATTTTAATATGGTTGTTAAATATTCCTAATTTTTTATAATTTTCCGCGCAATTTTAATTTTTTTCTTTCATACTTCTCCGGACAATAACAAACACAACAATATAAATTTGTTAAATCGGTCCAGCCGTGCACGCGTGATGGCGGCCAAGGGAAATAGGGATTCATTTTTATATATTTTATATACATAATATTTATATGTCAGTTATAGTTTGATGTTTATTGCCCGTACAGATAAAGAATTGGATTAAAAATGGCGGCTTAATAAATAGTCGTTTGAGCTGTAATTACTATTTTTTCTTATATCTTGACTTTCCGTTAAAGTACGTTTGTAAAAAACTTTTTTTAAGGTCGTTTAAAATGTTATTTGGTTTTGTTGATCGTTTAGGACTAAATGTGAAGTGTTAGTGATAGAATCCACTATTTTAACAAGTGCAATCATCACTACATACAAAACAAAATCCCCCCGCCGCGTCTGTCTGTCTGACTGTCTCAACGCGATAAACTCAAAAACTATCGAACAGATTTTCATACGGTTTTCTCAAATGGACAGAGTGATTCATGAAGTAGGTTTAAGTGTATAATTCATTAGGGTTTTGTGTAAATTTACTGAAATATGACGAGGATTGTAGAAGATTTCCTGGATATAGTTGTCAGGTGAGAAGTGCAAACAGAAATTCTATACTTCCATTCGCATATCTTTATTTGTACGACCACAGATAATAGAATATTATAATATTTTATTTGATTTTTTTTGTTGTTATCTAATCGTCTGAAGAAGTTTTCACTACAAAAATCCTTTTATATTTGCAGATATTCAAATGTGCTAGCATACAGATGGGGTACGTTAGACCAAAGAGACGAACTTTTAGTAGAACCCCGTCCATTATTTCAGGTAACATTCTACTTTCATTAATATGTACGCTATTTAATTTGTATTTTACTAATAAATTTATAACGTATTGAATTATTTGTTTTTTCTTAGTTGTCGGCTAATAAATGTGGATATAAGGTTGATTATAACTATTATTTAATATAGTACTTATCTTAGAATAATTTTAGTTGTTATAAATAAAAATTATAATATAAGATTTTTTTTTGATTGCAATTATAGCTCCTTCAAATATAGTCAATATAGATAAATAGTCACAGTGTTAGTTGACTTTTTAAGAATGTACTTCATCAAACTTTTAGTTGTCTAAAATCCGCATTTTGGTTTTATTAAATCAGTATATAACTGCAAGCAAAAATATCTAATAAAGATTGCATATATTATGGTATCTTTTATGACGCCTTATCGTCTTTTCAGTACTTATTTAGTCCAAACGACCAATTCACCGAAAAAAGTTTTTAATGCAGAATTATTGGCTTTTAAATGTTAATTTTATCAGTCTATTGCTATTGAATACAATTACTAAAGTAAAATACTTAAATACAAATAGAAAAAAAAAATCTTTTTACTGTAAAGTACAATAAGTATTGGTTTATAAATATCAACAATATTTTTGCTTGCTTTATATATATATATATATATATATATATATATATATATATATATATATATAGATATCCATAACACTCACATGTCAAATTAACAATTTCTAAATGTGATGGATATTAGAGAACTTCTCACTTTAGTTTACTTATACTATAAACACAATCTTTCACTACAATGGAATGTGATATATGTATAAAGAGTTTATAATTTCATTTCTTTCTAGCATTAGTGTTAGATGAGTTAAACCAAACCAGACGTCTTAATATGATGATACAAAATATCCTTCTTTTGTATTTACTGCTAAATTTTCATAGAAATGTATATATTGAAATAGGCATTTTATTCACAAATAAGCTTATTAAAGTACAATTATTTTATGTGTATGAAATAAGAACCCACTATTGTTTTTCTCATAACTGTTCGTAAGATACTTTTCATATTAGACTAATGTTCAATAATATCTGATCTGTGTGCAAATACATATTATATTTGTATTTTTGAGATTTTTTTATAATACAGTTTGTTCATATATCAGTGTGAAAAGGGCTTAAGCTGAGAGAGAGAAGAATGATAGTAATATTGCATTTTATAATAAAAGTTTATGAGAACACAAATCGGTAGAAAGAGTATGATATAGAAAAGGCGTAAGAGAGAGAGAGCGAGAAAGGTGATATTATGTTAATAGCGAAATTGCTCTCACATCACTTGGTTGTCCCTGGGTGTTTAGCAGTATGTGTTACTCCAGGTAACAAACATACAACACACACATCGGATACGGACTTTCACAAGCGTACAAATCGATAGAGAGAGAAAGAGAGATAGGAAATATGCATGAGAGACCGAGATAGCTAATATTCTATAACAAACCTATTACATCATGACAAGTTGTGTACGTAGTAGAGAGGGGTAAATCGAAAAGGCGTATGAGTGAGCGAGATAGCAGATATTCTACAACAATCTCGTCCACACCAGGGCGACATGGGTATCAGCGAGGTGACGGGGCGGCCCGAGCCTCAGTACGCAGCGTGGCGGCGGCGCGCGTGGCGGCACTGCGTGTCGCTGCCGCTCATGTTGCTTTGCCTCGCCGTGGCGGCGCTCGCCACGTTTGCGTTGTTGCGCACACAGGTAACTTAGGAATGAATACTCTTAAACTGCACAAGATCTTAAAGCATTTTACATAATTATTTTAATACTAGCAGAACCCGCGGCTTTGCTCGCGCTAAAAGTACAAAAAATATCTATATCTAAAAAGGTAATTTCATAGAAACTTTCATCCCCTATTTTACCCCCTTATATGTATAATGAATTTCTAAAATTGCTAAAACAAGTGTTTATTTATTTTTCTTGAAGAGCATTAATACTAAGTTTCAAGTAATTCTGATCATAAATATTTTTCTGTATTGTATTATAAAATAATAATAAAAAAAATCTTTTATTATCAAGCATCATAGCCTCAACATTGCAACATTATAACGTGTTTTGCCGTAGAAATTACATAATCTCTCGCGGTAAAAAGTATTCTGTCACTCTTCAGCCCTTAATATAACAATGATTAAGTAATATTTAAATTCCAATTAAAAAATATATCAAGATATATATAAAAATAATTTTATACCCAATTCAATTCAAAATAATATAGATCTTGATTGACTTAAATAATTAAAACTTATTAAACTTAAAAATATTGTTTTTAGATTTTACACATTATTTTTATTACAGGATTGGTGGGAAGATACGATATTTTATTTCAGTTGGATACCGCGAGCGTTTCTTGCTATTTTAATTGCGTTAGAGGAAGAAGTTTATGCGAGAATCGCAAAATGGCTCAACGATAAAGGTATTTCTTTAAATTAATTCATACATTTATATCCATAGTTAACTAAACAGATTCTTAGAACGTAACGTAGAACCCTGTAAAATATATGGTCTAATATTATTATAATATGTTAAGCTTTATCTATCGATTCTTAGAGGTTTCAAGTGCCATAGTGAATAGGGAATATGCGTGTTTTTTTTTAATTTTTATACAATAACAATTTAGCGATTTTAGTGTTGCCAATTTAGCGATTTTGTCGTCAAATTGACGACTCTTATTTAAGTCATGGCTCTTTTATAATAATACTTTGACGTCATATTCGGTCTGAACAGTTGCGTTTCTACTAATTTGAATTTTCCACCTAGTTTTGCACTTTTTAATAATTATTTTCTTAATCAAAAAAAAAAAATACATAAAAAATATTAACATAGGCTAAACTCAAAAGCAATAAAGATATTAAAAAAATTATTCACATTTATTTAAATCACACGCATATTCCCTATTATAAAAATATCTATGTTACTTCACATAATAATAATTAGAGTCATACGATTATACTTCCCCTGCAATAGGTACTTCCCTTATCCCTTGGGATATATGAATCTAAATAATGTTCAATTACATAGCGGTCACCATTTTGGAGTATGTGGCACAAATAAAGTATGGTGCAAATAAAAACCAATTCCGTTATATTATTATGTACACGAGTTTCATAATACGAAACATTATAAAATTACATGACAATATACAAATAACTTAAATTTTTACATATAAAAACTCTGAGTGTTTCGCCATAATCGTATTCTAAAATTACGCCACTACAAATGTGAAAGCGAATTCTAATAATAAAAAGCATACATCACATATCTTACAATTATATTAAAAAAATTCTAACCAAATAGTATTTAAACGTACGAGTAAGTAAAGTGAATTTAAAGGTGCTTATTGTTTTTTTTTTACTAATATACAAAATAATAAAAAATGAGTGAGTCAAGAGTGTGTTGAGTGAATTTTTCTTTTGTAATAGCAACATTTACAGACAATAACATTAGAGAAATTGTTATATTTTGCATGTATTAATCGTTTTGAATTTTGAATTTCTTCTAGACTCTATCTGTCTACTTAGATTAAATATTAGCACCTGTATTAAAATACATATATTAAATAGTATTTAATAATAAAAAAATGATTTAGTCATAGAGTTAGTTAAAAGTAGAAATGGTATCAATGAGTAGTAGTATAATAATACTATAGCGCATATTATTTTCTCTTTACCGCTTACCAAACTGGAATGGATATGAAAATTCTACATTTTTTATAATGGTAACATCGACTGCAATTTTAAAACAGAAAATTATCGACTCGAGACAAAGTATGAAAATCATCTGATTCTGAAAATAGCATTGGTTTGTATTTTATAAAGCTAATGCCGTTTATAACCAATCATGCTTTTGATACAATAAAAAGTAAATTTTAACCAAAAAGATTTTATGAATAGATCGCACGGCGTTAATACAGATTGCAAAGCGATTAGCATGCCATTTTTAATCTGTGCATGGTTTTAGTTTATATAACATTTGCATGTCGATTTAATTTTGATCTTGGAACATTTTTAATTCTACATTTAACATTTTGTTAATAAACTGGGATATCACAATATTACACATTTCACAAAATCATAATAAAACTACAATATAGTTAATTTCATAATTATAATTATTACAGTTAAAATAAAAAAAAATCACAATCACCACATATCATTACACATTACTTTTATTTCCTTTAGTGATTCTACAGAATGATCTATAAGACGCATTTTCGTATATATTTTGTTAATAATTATCATAAATAAAATTACATAATTACATATTAGGGTGAAGCGAAAAATTTTTTTTGCTGGAGGCTGAAATTTGTATCTTACAAAAAACATTTTTTTTTTACTTTACATTTTGAGCAGGCCCACTGATTTTTAAAATAAAAAAATAATTTAAATTTTTGGTTTGAATACATTTTTTTTCGACTTATGATTTTTAAAAACATACAACAATTGACGGTACTTTTTTCATATTACATTATTGAATGATACAACAGTATCTTCGTTATGTGAACGTATTTTATTTTAAATAAAATTACTTAGTATATTGGAAATTGTTTATTTTTAATTTTGTAATGGCATTGACAACTTACATTAAAAAAAATCTCATAAACCTGTGTCAAATATATGCGAAAATGTATCTTATACGTAGAAACGCTTTCGATGTAAACTTAATATTAATGAATACTTTAAATATTTACAAGGTTGTTTTGTTTTACAGTTTCAATTCGTCAATTCGTTCATGAGCTTGTTCTACATTGCGTTTTACCTTCAGGATATGGATAAATTGAAAGAAGTAAGATATGTTGAAATTTATCACTTTTAGCCGACTTCCAAAAAGAAGGACGTTCTATTTATTTATGTGCACAATGCATTTGTTAAAGAACTTAAAATAATTTTAAATAAAAAGTTATAATAACTTGATCATTATTGAAATGATAAACAATTAGTCATTATTAGAGTAGATAGTATTTAATATACCGTAAAATAGACTTAAGTCCTCAGACTAAGTAATGATATAGACAGAGTGTCGTAGAACTAACCATGAAGCCAAACAATAATGCTTACATATGTTAATGATATATTGATTACTATGAAAAAAAAATATGTTAATAAATAGAAATTTTTTACGCGTTTCATTATAATAAAGAAAAATATTAGATAATTAACATTATGCTACCTCTTTCAAGGGGAAGAGAACTAATGCTTAAAAAATACAAAAGATTATAATCTTATTTTTTTTATTCATATTTTCTTCTCAAAAATTGTAAATTAACGAGTAATAATTTTTAATTTTCCTTATTCTTTGAAAAAAGTAAACGATTCTTTAGTCTGAGTCTAAGTCTTGTATTTTAAATTGCGAACTGGAATTATTATTTTTAAGAGATTTAAACGGCAGGTATACATTTTTAGTTGAAAAAGTCTTATTTATAAATATTAAAAACTAAGAGATTAGTATGACATATATGTATAAGATTATTATATTGCATTCATATTATTTTCAGCAATTAGCCGTATTGCTTATAACTCGTCAAATAATTGGAAATTTAAAAGAATCTGCGCTGCCATATCTCATAGAAAATCTTAGATTAGCTAAGATTTGTTTCGACGTTTTTGGAGCTATGAGTCCAAGTAAGAGTAAGTACGAATTAATATATCAATACTGGTATCGCTTTATACTGTTTGTATGTTCAGTCCTTTTTAACTTCCCACTGCTGGGCATGGGCCTCCCTTCAATACGAGAGGGATCAAGGCCATATTATTGCTTTATAATGTGATAAAATTGTTTTAATTTTTTTAGAGAGTAGTATTGTCAATAGTTTGAATCGAATATCTTTCAAATTATAAAAGGTATTGATGTAATTGAATATCTTTCTTAGACTTACGTGGATATTTAACATTAAAAAATCTTTTCGGTTTTACGCGGGGTTTTTTTATTTTTGGTTTACTAGTTTGTTGGTTTGGGTGGGAAGCAAAAATCGGAATAAATCCGCAAATAAATTCTAAAACATAGTTTTTTTTAATCTAATTGATTATATTTTGAATTTTTTAAAGTAATAGTGGCATACAAAGATTTGTTAAATGTTTTGTTTTAACCATTTCAGTACCCACATCGGCACAGTTAACAGAACTATTTGAGAAGAGAACATCTTCATCCGGAGACCCACCAGAGATGTTGATCAATGGCGGCACGGAGAAGGAGAAAGATGATCGAAGAGATTCTGATACTAGAGAGCCTTTAATCGGACAGAAAGTTATACACCAGGCTGAGTTAGAGTCGCAGCTGTTTAAGGTAAGACATATTGTGTATCTGTGCCATCTTGGTCGTATTACCGTAAGTGGATAGAGACTGTAACAACAATATCTTTTGTATCATTAAAAAAAATTTCTTCTTTGACTAGGTTTTTAGTAAATTCTAAAGCATTTGGAATGTCGGGAATATCAAATTAAAATAGTTTTATTTATGTGCCTAACTATAGCCCAAGTGTGACTCCGTAGGATATAATATATATTTAATCAAAATTTATCCGAATCCATCCAGCCATTTCAATGTGCAGGTGTAACAAACATACATGCATACCATATAAATTTTTCTATACATAATAGCCGTCCAATAATATTAATAACTAGTGGCTCACCCTCAAGACAAACAAAAACAAATCTATCCCACGGGAACCGTACATTTTTCCGGGATAAAAAGTAGCCTATTTGTTATTCTGATGTATGAACTATATTAATATAAAGTTTTTGTGTACTAAGCTCTATAAGTTACTATATATTTTAAACTATCCCACGGGAACTCTTTAATTTTCCAGAATAAAAAGTATCTAAAATGTTGATCGGGGATATAAGGTACCACCATGCAAAATTTCATTTAAATCGTTCTAACAGTTTCGGAGATTAGCCCGTGCAAACAGACAAATAGACAGACAGAGAAACAAAAAAATTGAAAACAATCTGGATTTGTTCTATTTGTCTTCTTACATCCCCCTGACTTGGTTTTAAGCATTTTTTTTTATGCACAGACATTGGACTTTTACAGTTTTATTATATGTATAGATGATGATGTTAATATATAGTGTATGTTCTTTGACAGTACGACGGCACGTTCGCGGAGTACCTGGAGATGCTGACGCAGCTCGGTCACGTGGTGCTGTTCTCGGCGGCGTTCCCGCTGGCGGCGCTGTGCGCGCTGCTCAACAACGCGTGCGAGGTGCGCGCCGACGCCTTCAAGCTGTGCCACGTCGCGCAGCGCCCCTTCGGCGAGCGCGTCAGCAGCATTGGGAGCTGGCAGGTCGGTCTGTCTTAGTATAGAGCAAAGTGGCTTCCCGCTGTCTGTCTGTCCCTATGTATGCTTACATCTTTAAAACCATGCTACGGTTTGCGGATGCTGTTTTTTTTTAATAGTGATTCAAGAGGAAGGTTTTAGTATATAGTTTGTTAAGTTTTTGTATACATTGGCTAAAATATAACGATATTTTAACGAGAACGCTGCCTAAACTCTTTGAGATATAAAAAATAATGTATGGTGGAATTGTGTATCTTATATAGGTCTACAGAAAAGTCCGCGATGGCATATGTCTATCTTTTAAGGATAACGTACTATATCCATTTTAATTTAAAACGTATTTAAGGACGAACCCGAGGGAACCGAGGATAAGTCGCTAGTTATGAAGTAAAACTTCTTTACACACGCTTGACTTGGGGGGTAAGCTGGTGAATGCGTTACGAAAAAATGTACGTACTTTTGTTGCCATGGTAACCATTGTTTTTGGCTGACGAATTATATATAATATTATATTCTTTCCTTAAATGATATTCTATAAGTATGTATATGATTGTAATATGCCTAATATGCGTTATTTTTAGTATCTCGCTTATCTATATGTTTTACTTCTTGCGCGTTCACAGATACATACACGCACTCTTTAATTAATCAGTTCTCGCTCACTCTTGCTTGCATATTCTTTTTATCTATTCACTCTCTTTCTTTATTCTCTCTCACTCTCTATCTTTTCTCTCGCTGTTTTTTTCCTACAACCAATGAAACGAGCAAATGCAGTTTCATTATAGTATATTCCCTAAAATACAAAACACGAGTTTAAATAAATATACTAGCAACTCACCCTCGCTTCGCTCGGGTTCGTCCCTAGTTTAGTACAGACTTTGATCGCCATTTTTACTTCCTTAAAAGATGATTTCCGGGATGGAAGTATCCTATGTCCTTCCCAAGATCTCAAACTATCTTCTTACCAAATTTCATCTATGTCGGTTCAGTAGATCCAGAGATTACCCACTACAACGTCACAAACTCTCAAATTTTACCTCTTTATAATATTAAAATAGATTTAATAAATTGCGTATTTACCCCCAGCACGCGATGGAGGCGATGGTGGCAGTAGCGGTGCTGGTGAACTGCGCTCTCATAGGGCTGTCGGGGCCCGTGCACCGCCTGCTGCCCGACGCGACGCCCGCGCAGACTATACTCGTCATTGTTGCCTTGGAGGTAAGGGCTATAATGCTATGATTGTAATGTTTGTAGATAGGTACAAATAGCATTGGTGAAAATTCAAGTATAGTATTTATATTTGCAATGAGTTCGATTCCTACAGTACAGTATATAATCGTATTTTTTTTTCGTAACTTGCTAGTTTCATCGATTATAACAAGAAATATTTAATATTAGTTTTGATTAAAGATTGTTTTTTTTTCATAAGAACATGTACTAATAGAATACATATATTTTTTGTATTATTTATAACATACAAGTAGTGATGTGATCAACCCGGAGTTAATAAATAAATAAATATGTTGTCACATTAACACACAGCACCATCTAATTCCATGGTAAGCTGTGAGGCTTTTGTTATGAATACCAGATAGTTGATACACTACATATGTATAACTTTAAATATATACATATTTTAAATATAAACAACCATGACTTTAGTAAGAACATTTATGCTCATCACATAAATGAATGCTCCCAGCGGGACTCATATCCGCGACTATACAGATATATAAAATTGAAGTGTCTATTTCTAATGTTAAAATAACAGCTTTTTACTAAATGCTTATAGAATTATGTACAGTATTTATAAGAAAAACAACATTTTTAAAATTTTTGTCTGTCTGTCTGTTTGTTCCGCCTAATCTCCGAAACGGCTGGGCCGATTTTGACGGGACTTTCACTGGCAGGTAGTTGATGTTATAAGGAGTAACGTAGGCTACTTTTATTTCAGTAAAAGAAAAAAGAATTAGGGTTCCGCTCAAAAGAATTAAAATGTACCCTAGTCTAACATTGTATCCCAATCCCGCGAACAGCACGTGGTGCTGGTGCTGGTGCTGTGCCTGCGCCTCGCCATCCCGGAGATCCCGGCGTGGCTCGCCACCGAGATGGCTAAGGTGGAGTTCCAGCGACGCGAGGCGATTAAGAATGCGCATGCGCCACTATTGGTCAGTATTTCGAGTTTGGTTTTATACTAATTAATATGTGTTATATTTTTTTATTTGTATACTAATCAATACATATTATTAATTTAATTCCCCCGTCGCGCTATATTGGTGTTTGTCCAGAGTAATTTTAGAAACTACTGAAGAGTTTGAAAGAAAATTATTATCAGTCTTTCAAATTAATGCGTTGACAATAATTTGTACAGAATATACAGTAATTGTGATTTAAGTGATTTTTGGACGTTTTTAATGCAAATTACATTGAAAATAGTTGTAGTCAAAACTTAAATTGAGGTAACATTAAATCTCCATTTTTGTTTATATGTGTATTTTATGTTTATATAATATGTATTTACCACTATATTATACCAACCACTATATTATTAGAAGATAAATGTATTTACTACTTTCTTGTTCGATTATCGATTTGAAGAAAGAAAAGCAATAGTTAGTGTGCGATTCAAAGTTATAACGCTGTTTATATATAACTAGTGACTCACCCTCGCTTGATTCCCCATACAAACCTTCATCCCCATTTTCACCACCTTAAGGGTCGATTTCCGGGATAAAAAGTATCCTTTATCCTTCCCATTGTTTCAAACCTTTCTTCTTACCAAATTTCATCTTAATCGGTTCAGTAGATCCAGAGATTACCCCCTACAACGTCACAAACTCACAATCTTTACCACTTTATAATATAGATTATACTTTCTTAGATTTACGCGGATATTTGACATTTTAAATAAAACTATCTTTAGCCATTTTTCAATTTTTTGAATTAATGTTGTTATATTGTGGGTAGAAGGTCTGTAACAATTATATAATACCTTTGAGACATCTAACACCTCAGTCTCTCCCGTGACCATGATTGCTGTAAAGCATTCGAAACGTCGGGAACCAAAAATTGAAAAGAAGAAGAAAAATATATATAAATATAAAGAATCCGAAAAGATAGTTTTATTTAAAAATTATAGATTATAGTTAAAGTAAATAAAATATTACAGTCGGAAGGGCCGAGCCAGGACGACGTGCGCTCCAACCGAAACACGCCTCATAGCGTCACGCCCACCACGCCCAAGCAGTGTGACAAACCGATAGACAAAAAGAAGATCAACATCGGCAAGATACCAGAGATACCGCCTTTCAGGTGACTGTTTGTTTATGGACTTGTTATATGATAACCACAGTGTAAAAATCTATAGAGTAGATTTGATCTTGAGGATAATTAAATTCCCGCCGAATGCAAATGTTGTTAAAATAACATTCATGGGAAATGATTTTGAAAGGTGCTTTTGGCAAGTTACAGTTCAAGCGCCAACCCTAAATCCTTTTCCCGAGTCTCTCGCAAAATGGCTATGTCTAGAGGCCCTCGTTAGACGACTGTATGGATTAGTAAACTGTGTTATAACTATAGGCCTTTAAGACTGTTATAGACAAAACGTATTTGCATCTTTGTTTATTAATTTCAGTTTTTTGGGGCTATGATATAGGTAGGAATATAATTAGTGTATAATTAAGTCAGTCAGTTAGTGTGAATGATCGTCATAGACTATACTAATTTAAGAATTTGATAATTGGGTATGTGTTACTTGTGATCGAAAAACCCGGTAATCGAAATTTGACTATAATTAAAAAAATGATTTAACACTAAAACTCATCAATAGCTACTAAACAAAAAAATTAATAGAAGAAAACCGGTTACAAACAGAGGAGAAAAAGATTGTGTTTTGTCTTTGCCTATTTTATTTTTTTGGATTGTTGGCTTTTATTACACGTTTAAATATGATAATGAGTAAATAATAATTATTAATTATTATATAAAAGTGAAAGTTTGTGAGTGTGGATGTTTGTTATTCTTCCACGCCAGAACGGCTGAACGGATCTGAATGAAATTTGGAACAGAGATAGATTATAGTCTGGAATAACCCATAGGCACATATTTATCCCGGAAAAATGTACGGTTCCCGTGGGATAGGTTTGTTTTTGTTTTCCTAGAGTTAAATATATTTTTTTTATAATTAATTGGCCATTATTGAATATTTTTTCTGACACAATTTAACTGTCATATAGTATTCATAACTATGGCATAGTAGTCATTAAGCGCAAGCTTAACTTACATTCTGCTATTTTTTTTTATAGTAATATACAATTTCGGTAAGTATTTTCAAACGTAAAATCTTATTCCATTTTTTTGATTACATTAACGACGTACATATAGAAAGCAGGGCTCGGAACCGGTTTAAAAAACGGTTTATATCGATAATGTAATTTATAGCTCGTTCTTTAACCACGTAATAAATACAAACGGTTTAGTAAACCGAAATAATGATGTTTAACGGTTATTCTTAGAGAAAAGTTAGATTTCGGTTTTGATAACTAAATAAACCGGCCAATTCATTCATAAGTAAGAAACTACGCAATTCACCATTAGCAAAGATTCGCCAAATGTAAACGCATTAAAACTTATTTTAACCGGTGAATTTTGATCATGGAAGCTAAATTCGTAAGAAACCGTTCTCTGGGTTTTAATTGGTTAAAGAACGTAATCGAAACCTTAAAAAAGCCTTTCGGGTTGGGGTGAATGACCGAAACCGGTTTGATAATTGAACGGGTTGCCGAGCCCTGATAGAAAGTAATTAATTTTATTTAGAAAATTATTTACTTAACCATGCTATGTATAATTATTCTCTTTTAGATTTTTAGGCAAATGTATGTATGTAGGTATAGCGTCCATTCTACACTGATTCATACATTCATATATTTACAATTGGTTTTATTCTTTTTGTTTTCAGTTAATTTGACACAAGTAAATATGCCTGGAACGGTGTGTAGTTACAGATTATATATTCCGTCATTCCATTGAGTCAGTATTTATTATCTATAAGCTTATTATTAGTATCATATATTATTATTACATTGTAATTATTATTTGCAATAAATTTTATCTCTAAACTGTAGTTTTCTTGACAAAATAAAAATATTTATATATAACAATGTCCTGTGCCAAAGGTAAAATGATAGTTCCATCTAAGCTTGCTTTTTGCTATCTAACGTACTACCTATCACGATTAATCTTTACACACCCTAACCAAATGAATATGTTATGTAAAAAATATATTTTAACCCCCCCATAATTTTTTATATTTGCAACACATTAAGAAATTTCTTTCATGGCACCTTTTTCTATTACGCTTTCCTCTCCACTGGCTTAGTCCTGATATACCTTATTAAATATAGACTGTTAATATTTGTATATGTTTTCAGGCCAAAAGCTGCTTCCATAACAGAGCCAGTGACAACGGGTTCCTTGCAAATATTGCAAGACGTTAGTCCCACTAAACCTATTCGACGTAAGGTAAGGTTAATTTGTTTGTTTGTCTTTTTTTTATTTTAATATTTAGGACCTCGACACGGCCATCTTGAAATTTCTGGGTCTTTATGATTTTTTTATTTTCACGTTATCTCTAGATGCCGAACATAAGCTCATGTGTATAACTGTATACTAAATTTTGTCGAAAGCCGTTCAGCCAAAAAAAAAATATGTTTAAATTGTTTTTGCTTATTAGTTAAATTTACACCATACGGGTGGTAGGACTCTGTCAAGCCTGAGGAGTTCAACTGGATGGGTACCACCCCCTTATCTATTTCTTCCGCCAAGTAACAATGATTACATTGTTGTGTTCCGGTTTGAAGGATAAGGTAGCTAGCGCAACTACAGGTAAGAGGCATATCACCTTAGTCCTCACAGTGACAACGCACCTGCGGTTCTGTATTTTTGTAACATAAAACTTAAGTGCATGAACCGTAGGTGTTATGGGCGACAGGTACCGCTTTCCATCAGGTGGGCTGTCTGCTCGTTTGTCACTAAATACCATAAAAAAAAACGTAAAACGAACATTGCATCATGTTTTTAATAAGTATACCATAAAGGTATAAATAAGGCTTGTTTGTAACTCGAATTTCACTTTATGAAATATAATGCTAAACAAGATCCGATCAAGATCCGCTAAAAAGTGACGGATACGGATACAGATATCCGGTGCATCACTACATAGTATAAAACAGTCGTTTTCCGCTGTCTTTCTGTCCCTATGTATGCTTAGATCTTTAAAAGTACGCAACAGATTTTGATGCGGTTTTTTTATAGATAGAGTGATTCAAGAGAAAGGTTTATGTGTATAATACATGCATATTATAGTACAGAAAAGCCGAGAAATTCAAACTAACCGTGAAAACATACGTAATAATTGGACCCAGTTATGCAAAAAACAGCCATGTGCGTAAAAGTACCAACAGAGTTATAAGCATTTTTCTGTCGATAGTTGCACTTGGGTTATGTTTTGTTTTTCTGGTTATTTTAAAATTGAACCATATTTATATAAGTATTGTTTATTTTTTTATCCTATCCAGTATTTTGAACTGTTGCTATTAAAGCAGATAATTACGTTTTAGACTTAGCTGTTTCATACAGTTGTTTAATCCAGCCACATGAGTTGGCTGTGTTTTAAGTTATTTTTAAACAGCAAAATAAATAAAAACACACAAAAAATCTATAGTTACAAAAATCATGATATAAATTAATCAAAATTATTTAGCTGTTTTCATATTGTTTTTGATTATTATTATTGGATTTTATAAGAATATGTTATAAGATAAATAATATTTTAATTCATAAAACAGCCAGGATGGTGTGGAAAAAAACCCAACTACAGTGGTAGTTTAGTGGTGGTAGTATTATTAGTGAATAACAAATATCTATTTGACAGAAGCCAGCCATCATAGATTGGCTGCTTCTTGCGTAACTTGAACACTTCTACCTTCTAACATGCAATATAAGTATCTTAGTTAGTGTCAAAATTGGATGCACTTTACACCAAGCTGACTGTTTTTTACGAAATGTGCTTGTTGAAATGGCTAGATTTGATGGCTTATTATCTCCGAAATTAATAAAGATATAGACATGGCTCTTTTTGTAAAAAAATCTACATGTCTAAATTAGCATCACTGTATTTATAACTCATTTTTGGAAAAAATGTGTAATGGCTGTTTTCTGCATAACTAGGTCCAATTATGTAATGTGTGTGTGTGCATATGTGTGCATGTGTGCGGGCAGGAGGGCGCGCCGCTGTCGCTGCTGGGCGTGCGCGGGCTGCGCGACGAGCCGCTGCACCGCTCCGCGCACTGCCTGCCGCACGCGCACCGCCCGCTCGCGCACCCCACGCTGCAGGTCACATCTCGTACTATGCCACGTCGTAGTATACCACTGTACTGTACTGCGGTACCACACTTTTTCGTTGCTCTGCCATAGTATTACATTCAACCCTATACTGCAAGAGTCTTACTTTGTGGGTTGCTTTGCCATAGTACCACAGTACTGCAGTCAACCCTACGCTGCCAGTGTGACGGTTTGTGTTTATTTATTTGTTTATTGATCATAGTGCCACCAGTATTATTGTGCTAGGTGAAACGTACTCACGAAAACTCAACTCCCATAGCCTGAAGTAATGTTTGACGCATGTGTACAATTTTTTCAATTTTTTTGTACAGTCAAAATAACACCTCGAAACAAAAACACATAAAAAAACAACGAATGTCACTAAATCATTTTAAAGAAAACACGACACAATTACCGCCTTTTATTCATTTAAGATGACAATTTTCATCGAAATCCGTTCAGCCGTTTCAACAAACACACGTACATACAGTTTTACAAATACACAAATATAAATAGTTGCATGTATAATACGAGTCGCATATATCATTCACAGGAGCTATCAGGCAGCGTGAGCGCCGGCGGGTCCGAGCCGGACCTGAACGCGGTGCCGTCGGCCGTGCCCTCCGCTCCTTCTATGGACATCAGCGCCACTTCTAGTGAGGACGACAAGCCTAAGGATAAAAGTAGTGAGTTTTGTAATTATATAATACTAACATTGCCCGTGGCTCTGGCCGCGTTCAGATAACCAAAAACCAAATTCTTAGGTTTTATATATTAGTATACTCTTACATTGCAGTTTTTGTATTTTTTCTGAGAAATGAGATATTTTCCCGCGATAAAAAGTATCCTATATGTTGACCCGGATAACCAGTTGTCATCATACCAAATTTCTTCAAAATTTGTCTAGTGGTTTTCTCGTGATGCTGTAACAGACAGACAGACAGACAAAAAATTTAAAAACTCTAGATTCGGACTCTGTATCGATAATAATGTCTATTTCAAATAAGATTTTCCAAAAAATATTTAATGTACAGATTCGACTTAGTTATAATTTTATTATGTGTTGATTAATATATACATTAAGAGTTGCTCCCCTAAAAGGTTTTTGGTTAAAACATTTGTAATACATAATGTTTCTTTTGAGTGAAACTTAATATTTTCATTTCAGTGTTTAAGACATTTTCATGTCCTTACGTTTGGTTCACGATGTTAGAATCTATATTATGTATAATTTGTAATATTTCATCGTTTTCTTTAATTCTAAGACGCAATCTTTGTTCGAGAGATTTTGTCCTTACCATAGACCCTATCAATTAATTAGATGAAATAGTAATGTGTCCTTTTTTGCATCATTCAGGTAAGCCTTTTTTTTTTAAATGCAGTTATCATTTTTTTAAAATAAAGAAATGTTTCCTTTGAGTAAACATTGATAACAACTTCAATATTTAAGGTACTTTTCTTCTATGTCCCATCGATTTGTTCCACCCTGTATATCTGGTCCCGAATGTGACCACAACCTAGCGTGTACTTCGTAGCTGTCACATACGGTTGGTTGTATGACGTGTCGTGCCCGCAGACCGGTCGCGCGCGCGCGCGGCGCTGGTGAAGCGCGTGCGCTCGGTGGCGGTGTTCTCGCTGGGGCTGCGGCGCGCGCGCGAGGCCGCCGCCGCCGCGCCCGCGCACGCCGCGCCGCGCACGCCCGACCGCCCGCACACCACGCCCGTACGTATACACACACACACACACACACACACATACACACACATGTATATATATGTATTAGAATGGAGCGAAAAAAAATGTTTTTTTTTCTTAGCTTGGGGGTAGAATTTGTAGGTTATAAAAAAATGTATTAAAATAAAAATATGTTATGAACATACACACAACATACAGTGAAAGTTGGGTAGAAAATGGCTATATTCTTCAATTTTTTAATGATTTCAAAGTCGAAAAATTTTATTTCGTTCAAACCAAAAATTTAATTTTTTTTTGTGGTACTCCGTAATAAATGAGCAGACAGCCCACCCGATGGAAAGCGGTACCTGTCGCCCATAACACCTACGGTTCATGCACTTAGGTTTTACGTAACAAAACTGAAGAACCGCCGGTACGTTATCACTGTGAGGACTGAGATAATATGCCTCTTGCCTGTATTTGCGCTGGCTACCTTATCCTTGAAACAGGAACACAACAATGTAAACATTGTTGCTTGGTGAGAGAAATAGATAAGGGGGTGGTGGGTCATTCAGACGTACTCCACGGGCTTGACAGAGTCCTACCACCGGTAAAAATCTGTGGACCACCTCAAAATGTTAAGTAAAAACATTTAAAAAATTTTGTATTTTTTATAAAATACCTACAAATTTTACCCCCAAGTAAAAAAAACTTATTTTTCTTCGCTCCACCCTAATATACATTTATACACCACATCTGTATCGTACCCCTACGCGCGTGTAGTCATACGTACACATCACACCCTTACGAATGCTTACATGTTATTTTATAATTACATACGTACACTTTTTGTTATTTTGGAAGTGATGAAATAAACAAAATGACTTAGTAAATAATATAAATATTAAAATAAATATCATTATTTATTACTAGAAAAGCCCTCACTTTGCTAAGGTGGTGCCTGTAAGCTTTATAGCCTGTGTGTACTGAATTTTATTCAAATCTGTCCAGCCGATTTAACTTTAAGGAGTAATTAACATGCACACACATACACTTTGAACCATTATATTTATAAGTAAAGCACGGGCCTCCATTCAATACGAGGGGAATCAGGCCATAGTCCACCACGCTGGCCAAGTGCGGGCGGACTTCGAAAACTTGCTAGGTTTTCTCAGATACGCAGGTTTCCTTATGATGTTTTCCTTCACCGTAGGACAAGTGGTAATCATGTTAGAAATGATTCGCACATGAAAATGTCAGAAGTGCCCGGGATTTGAACCCGCTTCACTCGGCTTCCCAAGCGAGCGCGTTACCACTGGGCTACCACTGCCTTCTATAATGCTTAATTATTATTAATGCAAATAAATAATGTATTCCAGGGGCCACCCGCGCCAATGCTGGGAGGTGAACTATCCCTCATTCCCATCGAACAGCTCATACAAGTTGAAGACGTCAAACCAAGGCCTATTACATAAGTGTATTATGACGTCATCAACGTATAACTCACGCCACTCAAGTTGATCCAAAATGGCGGCTTTTAATCTATATTGGATCGATTAACATTTGACGATCTATCATTTAATAATTGTTGTTTCTGTTGTTTTTTATAATAATTTATTTTAAATTATTAAAGTTGGTATTTTAATAGAAGGATGTAATTTAAATTATTTTATTTTTTATTTGTTTATTATTTATAAAGCTATCTGTGCACTGGTATGTTTTGAAGTTTTTGTTATGTAAATTAAGAGTTTACTTTTAATTGATTTTGATTTATTTGAATGAACCATTATATGGTATATAATGTGTTATTTTCATATTCTTTTTAAACAATAGTATTCTTTATATTATAATAAAAAGTGAAGTGTCACTTAGTATTACTATGTTATGCAGTCACGCATATTGGTGGAACCATAACGGTTTTTTTAAATCGCATGTTTAAATCGTTCAATGATTTTGTAAAATTTTATTATTTGTATATTTAAGTTAAAATACGCACACATTATTTACGTGTTAACGGGACACAAGATATTGCGCGTGTGAGACGAATAAGATCAGGACACGAATATAAGTTAAATATTTATTGAAATTAAAAATAAAACACCCCAAGTTACAAATGTTCGAAATCAATTTTTTTTACTGAATTGAAGTTTAATTATTGAAAGCTGTAATATTTTACAACACATTTCGTGTAAAATCTTTGTTGGAATTAGGAAGAAGGTTTCAAGAACACGGTGTTGTTAGTAAAATTAGCAAATTCACCATAATATTGCATTATGATGAATGTTTTAAGCTTACTTTTTAACAATATTTTGGTATAAATAAAAAAAACAACCGGCTATTTAGCCAAATGCTTAATAATTATAGACCTTTACCCAAAGTGTTAAATTTCAAACTCAGTATGGTGAAAGTAAATAAGTGAAATATTAATAAAAAATTAAAGTTTTTTGTCTTTTTTTTATTATATTTCGTTTAAAAAAAAAGTATTTAAGCTTGTATCGTGTTATTTCATATATAATGGTCTAGTGACGATTAGAGTTAGTTTATTATATATTATAATAAAAAAGTTAAATAAAAAAGCAATATATGATGTTATGAATAGAAGAAATTTCGTTACATCTTCTGTTTTGTATGAGATGAATGCATTTTATAATTTGATATGAGTTAATAGAAAATGATTACGTTGATATATTAAAAACTTATATACACAATTAGCGTCTCAAAAGTGTCCTCAAAAAGAAGTGCACAATTCGAAATTGAATTGCGCTTTTTCAAATCTCTTTTGTTCATTGCTTTTCGAATGTCAAAATTAAAACGCGCGTTGTTTCGTTTAAAAAAGTACTTTGTGTGGTGTGCCTAAGTTCGAATTTGTGTTTAGACAATTAGAACTTCCAATTTTTGAATACATATTATTCTTTGGTTTAACTTAACGTCACATGTCAACGCCTTTTTTCAAAGAGATATTTGTTGGGAAATGTATCTATATTTTTATATATCGATTGGTTGTAGGGAAAGTAATTCAGATGAAAAAAAAACTTTTATAAATTGTAATAAAATTTCTATGAAAGCTGAAAGGTTTAGCACACCTATTGAAATTACAAAATATTAGAATTCGTTTTGTATTTACAAAATATTGATAAAAACTAAATCAATGTTGTAAAATGCATTCATCTTGATACTAATTTAAACGTTAAACATCAGTGAAATGTTAAAAAAAGTAAATAGACAAGAAAAAAATTCTAAGGAAAGCTTTTGAATATGCGATTTTAGTACAAATTGGCAATATCAATGGGGATGGTACCAAGTTATATATTATACAACTGGAAATTTTGTTATTTGTAGAACTAAATGTTCAATGTATGTACATACATAATTGGAAAATTACTAAGCTTATATTTTTATTAATTTAAATTAATAAGATATTATGGTACGGCAGCTTACAATTTTTAAATAAAAAAAAATATTTTTATGATTAAAGTTAATTTATTTTGATTTATAAAATGTACTTAATTGTCACTTATAAAATATACCCAAAAATAACATTAAATAATTGAATTAATAGTATAAAAAATATTTTAAAACACAACAAAATCGAAAGTGCATAATATTTAACACCATTCAGACAAAGAAAGACAATAGCATTCCCAAGGAGGGTTGACGTCAGGCAGGCGGCCGGTCGTAAAACTTTTGCCAAATCCTATCAGCAGTACACTGAAGATGTACTGCGCCGACCCCAAGTGATTTGGGAAATGGGCAGGGAGAAGAAGAAGAAGACTTAATTGTCACTTAATTAGCTTTAGTAATTTTTCAAATATGAAAAAATTGTTCTACAGATAATACAATGTAAGGAGTAATGTCTTTGCGAACGGAAATTTTCGATATTTTTAAAAAGTTTTGTAAGAATTTTTCGATGTTGTTAATGTCAAATGCAATTGTTGTATCGCAATTTGTTTCTCGAGGCTTCCGACTTCTATAAGCAATTGTCTGACAATAAGTTGAATGTGACGTTTGATCTTTTGTCTCTTCTATGTGACACCAGACGAAATAAACCTTTTTTAGGGCTCCATACTATAATAGATACAGAGTTGAAATTTTCACAGTATTTCTATTGCTTCTATAACAACAAGTAATCAAAAACTAAGATGGCGAATTTCAAAATGGCCACCTGACTTAAATTCGAAAAAATGTGTATAAATCATTAATTATACACTAATCTATTTAAACCGGTTTCAGCCGAATCAGAATTCTTGGTGAGGATCGGCAACGCATAAAAGTGCATGTGTTGAAAATCGACAGAACTTTCCCGTATACCTATTAGTTAAGGTGGTCAGACAAAGAGATAGTGGTAACACGTTCAATCGGAAAACTAAGTGAAGTGGGTTCAAACCCGGGTTACGCACCTCTGGCATTTTCATGTGCGAATCATTTGCAACATGATGACCACTTTTGATACGGTGAATATCAATCACAAAACATCGTGAGAAAACCTGCATTTCTGAAAGAATCTTAAGTAGTTTTCAGAACATATGTGAAGTTCGCTCACACTTGTCCAGCGTAGTGGACTATGGCCTGAACCCCTATCGCATTGAAGGGAGGCTCGCCTTAAGCAGTGGGACGTTAAAAGGATGGAATTATTATTCTTATTATTATAAATTCATTTCCGATAGAAGCAGGTATATTTTGAGTTAAAAAAAAGTTTATTTCGTCTGGCTGAAATTTTCTGTCTGTGTAATACCGCTAGTTTCACTTCATGTGTCGTTATTTAGGATAGTCTGTAACGAATCATTAAGTTTTAAACACTTAAGGATTACAATACAATAAACGAAGCAGTTTAATGTAGAGGTCGGTTCTTATGAGTTATAAGTGCACATAATAAAACCACAGTGTAAAAATCCATACAGTAGGCTTATAGAGATCGCATTTGATCTCTGCGATCTCTGCAAATTTAAGGGTTGGCAAAAATACCAAATGCAAATTGTGAATGTGTGTGATCTCACTGCTTGTTGTAATATTGACACTTTTTTTTTACTTTCAAATCATAATTTCATCTAACTAATATGTATTATAAATGTGCAAGTTTAGATGTTTGTTACTCAATCACGCCAGAACGGCTCAACGGATCTGGATGAAATTTGTCACAGAGATAGTCTGAAATAGCACATAGGCTACTTTTTATCCCGGAAAAATGTACGGTTCCCGTGGAATAGAATTGTTTTTGTTTTTCTAGATGGGAACCTGAGCGAAGCGAGACAGCCACCAGTAGTAAATACTATTGTTTTTATATTATGTTACATATGTATGCAATAGAATATTATATAGATAGAATGCAAATGTGACACGTTTTAACCGAATTTTAAAAAAAGAGGTTCTTAAAGGTAATTAAGTAATAATTTCAGCTCTAAGGATAGATTATTTACATTTTGAGTGATTTTGAAGTCTGTGTATCTTTTTAGTTAAAACTTAAATGTATTTTACATTACTACGAGAAAGAAAAAGAAATATTTTTCTACTTCTAATTTAAATTAATAAGCCTTCACCTTGATTAAATATAATCGTGAGCTGTTTATATTAAGCTTTCAATATTCTTCCTATAAATGTTGTAATATTTATCCTATTATCATATTTCATTATTTTTATGATTCATATTAACCCACCTCTATGTTAAAACTTTTAACTATTTTTAAATACGATTATAATCTGATTAAATTAAAGTTTTCATGTTACGCAATCATGTATATTAAGAAATGGCAAACTCAATTTGTGATTATTTGTTATTTTCAATGTATGTATCAAATAAATGTTTTTAATTTTGTCACTGTGATCAGAATTTTATGCATAAACTGTCAATTAAACAGAAGTTACCAAGTTATTTTTTGAAGGCAAATACAAGTTTTTTAATATTGTTTAAGAATATTCCACTATATTTTATATACTAATAATTAGTTTCACACCAAAGTGTTGTTTTTAAAGTAGGCACATATTTTAGAAATAACATTTGGGTAAAATTAGCGATGCTTCACGTAATATTTTAGATTTAGTTAGTGTATTGATGTATCTAAATGTAACATAATGAAACGTTCAGTACTTTATAATATATGGACGCGTATTGATTTGCTAGTATAAATATTGCCAAAGGAAGATTTCTTGTAAATTTTTTGGAAAATATTTATCCGGCGGGGCAACGTTCACTAAATTAACTATCCCGTTGGGTACCCAGTATTCCGTAAAAAGTAAAATTAATTTCTATGGTAGGACGATAACATATCGTCAAGCAAAAATAACGTTAAACGTTCATCGAAAATGAACAAAACAAACGCACGTATATTATTAATAAGGGTTTTTTATAAAAATAATAATGACTTAAGTTAGTGAATCGGTGAAGGAAAACATCGTGAGGAAACCTGCATGTCTGAGAGATCCTAGCAAGTTTTCGAAAGACATGTGAAGTCCGCCAACCCGCACTTGGCCAGCGTGGTGGACTATGGCCTGATCCCCCTCGTATTGAAGGGAGGCCCACCCCCAGCAGTGGGACGTCATAAAGGGCTGAATACACAACTTAGAATTTGTTAAAGAATAAGTTTATTATATTTTATTTGTCTCTGGTAAATATTTTGTTCAAGCAAATCAGTAAGCGTCATTGAACACTACGATTTTAGTATAGTGACATATTGAGAGAAATAGTATAGCGATTGGTTAGTTTCAGCTTACGATTCACATGCCTTAATTATAATACAGATAATGTTATTTTAATCTTTTTAATAATTGGTTTAAAAGGTGATAATTTTAGTATGTGTTTTAGGCATTAAAGTTTAAAAAGGGAGGGTAGATTGTAATAATTTTTTTCCGAACAAAAATTTACTAATTAAAACTAAAATTAAAAATGTTGGAAAGGATCAATAAAATGTCAATGTTATTTTACATATTTGTTTATAATTTTCTTAAATAGTTTCTCTATCGATTTGAGGAACAAAATATTTATTATAATTAAGATTTGACGGAAGAAGCCATGGGGGCTCTCTCTAGTGTGAGTGAGGAAACATGGTTAATGCCTAAAACGACCACTATAATGATTACCAGCTCGGTGGTATGATTATTTTGCGAGTGTAAAATGCTCATGTAAGACAACACTATTTTATTTTTTTGTATTTTTCACTTTTGAAAAAAAAACTTGTACATAATCATAATAACATTTTAATAATTATAATAAAAACTTCATTAAAATCTAATTTTATGTTTCTTAATCATCAAAAATATACAATTTTGTATATTAAACATTTTGTTGTCTACATGAGCATAATATAACTGTGTATATTATTAGCGCACGATGTGTAAGTAATTAATTATTCTATTTCTTTGCTTAATGCCAGATCGAGTAATATTTTATAATATTAAATCTATAAGTTCTTGACCATTGGCTTATATTTATTATTTATAAAAGTTACACCTAGTATTATTTAACTAAGTATTACTCGATCGTAAGTTAGGTGATGTGAGATGCTTTATTCTGAATAGCATTGCGAGGTAGCAAATTGAATATTTGTTGTTACGTACTTATTTTTTATACGGAATATTGATAAATGTTGCATTTTTAAAGTAGAAATATAAATTTTATGTTTGCATAATGGTAATGCTGTTTTATTTGCCTTATATATCGTTTTAACATATTTGCAAAGAAGCACATTGTAAAAACCTATTTAACTATCTACATATTATATGTACATTATTCATTTATTAATTTAATCAAATAAGCAATTATTAATTTATTATTTAATATGAAAAAATATAGCATTTAATTTCTGAAAGATATAATATAGTCATCTACATAATAAATTATATTGTCATAATGCTCTGCTAGGGGAGGCCCGTGCCCAGCAGTGGGACATTAAAAAGGGCTGAATACAATGCTCTGCCGCTTTTGGGAAGATTAAGACTACCCTACCCATATTTTCTTTTGACGTAGCGAGGAATGAGGATGGAGAAAATTACATCTTTTTTATGTCACGTAAAAGAACTTAAAGCTAAAAATTTAATTGTAACAACACATGCTCAATGGAGATTGGAGACTCCCGTGACCATGTTAGCTGTAGGTATTCGAAACATACGGAACTAAAAATCATAATACAACTATGAAAACAGTAAAAAAATAGTTTTATTTAAAATTGAAGTGTAAGTTAAACCTTTATAAAATAAATAAGAAATATTAAACAATATATTGATCATAATTATTCTTACACTTGTGTGCATAACATTTCCATATAATTTGTGCACTTTACAAGTTTATACTGTTAACATAGATAAAATATAATAAAAAATTTACTTTTTAGCTTTACGGGATTATTTACTCTGTTGGATTTTGACAGCATTGTACATTATAGAAAATGGCGGTTGTTGTAATAGGAAATATTATTTGCAATTAGTATTTTAATATTGCATTCTATAAATAATTGTTATTAAGATGCAAGTTGAGTCCATATTTTAAGGCAATGTTTATTATTTCCATATGATAATCGCTATATATCTTACACATACTATTAAAATAGTTTACTTAGACAATAGCAATAACGCGGTTTTTTGACTAGTTTATTTCTGTGTAAATAAATTGCTGTGTTAACACAAATACATCAATAAAAATAACTCAGTGTTAAATTTATTGTCATCTGATATCTAATATAAAGTAGAGTTTAGTTTTAATCACGTGTAGTGTAATGAAAAAGTGATGTGTTGATGACAATTTGGCATCAAAACAATGGGTGAAAATGAAGAATTTAATACTTTAGCATTTGAAAAGAAGCTAACACAACTAAAGGACACCCAGGAGAGTATTCAATCTATGTCATCATGGTGTTTGAAGCAGAGACTTCATCATAAAAAGATTGTTTCTAGCTGGTTAAATGTTTTGAAAAGAGTAAAGGTTGAACAGCGGCTTGTCCTTTTCTATTTAGCTAATGATGTGATTCAATATAGTAAAAGAAAAAACTATGAGTTTGTGGAAAGCTGGGGTCTCAATTTGCAAAAAGCTACACCATTAGTAAGGTGAGACTTGTACAGTGATTGAGGTTATATTTAAGTTATTTTAAGCATATAAAACCCAGGTATGGATTTTTCTGTAACCTGAAATATTGTAATATTGGCAGTCTTAGGTTAGCTTTCTATCAATACTTTAGTCAAAAGTTTATTCTTTGTTAAGTTATTTATAATTATTATGTGTATATAATCAGCACTGCTATAATCATCACATTGATTATTTTATCTTTTAAATTGTGTAAATATTATCAAAAATGTCTATATGCTTAATGCTTTTTATTTTGTAGAGATGAAAAAGTAAGATCAAAGATTCTGCGTATATTTAAAATTTGGGAAGAACGATCTGTGTATGACGATGAGTTCTTATCAGATCTCACTGGCTTACTCAGTGCAGGAGCTATTAAGAAGACTGATGATGATCCATTGGATTTTCAAGTGAGTATTTTCATAGCTTTGTTTTAAAACATAATATATGTATGTATTTATATTTGCAAAAATATTAACTAATGAAACTTGTATTTAACAAATGTTTATTACTTCAGCCACAGCAGCTAGTAAATAAAATAAAGCAGTGTTCAGTGTTAGAAGCAGATACCAAATTGAAACTCAAAAGCATACATGATAGTCATTTGGAGTTATCCGACGCAGATGCTCTTTGTGCCAATTTAAAAGGTAAATGGTATTTACTTCATATTATATTGTAATTCTTAAACATCTGCTAAAATGTTAATTATATATATATATATATATATATATATATTTATATTTACTTTGCATTATTTTGCTTTTTAAACATACATGCCATTGATACGTAAGCATTAGTTGTTTTTTTATATGTAATAGTTAAATTTTAGTTTTAAGCTTTTTAGTGTTATTTGTATACTTTTTCTTTCCCTCTCCTTTTATTAGTGTTAACAGTTAACAAATACTTTCCTGACAGGAGGATCCAGGAGACTCATATTACAGGACGGACCTAGTATGAGCTCCTGCCTTTCACTGATCTATTTGTTTATAATAAAAATTTTATCATAAATGTAAGAAGAATCTTTTATTCTGTACTCCTACCACATGTACAATAGAAATTGTACATGTGGTAGAAGTACATAATAATAATTATATAAAAATGAACTCCTATTTCTCCTGGTCATGCTATAACTTGAGAACGGCTTTACCAATTTCATTCATCTTTTTTTAAATGTTTTCTAATACTTCGTGGAAGGTTCTTACATTAAAAAAAATTAAGAAAATTGCGCATAAACTTAGAAAATTTAAGAAAACTTAATCCCGGAGATCATCCCTTAAGGGTGTGAAAATGGGGTTGAAAGTTTGTATTGGGAAACAAGCTAGGGATGAACCCGAGCGAAGCGGGGGTGAGTCGCTAGCAATAATTATTTTATTCAATTGAGGTAATCTAATATTGTCAAGGCAATAATTTCAAATTGAATATAAGTTACAAAGAGTTTTTTCTTTATTACAGATAGAAGTCATAAAGACGATGTGGAAAAGGAATTGAATGAAGGTATTGCATGTGTTGAGAAATATACTCAAGCATTGCAAAGAGAAACGGTAGCTAGGGAGGCTTTGCTAGCGTTGTTAAGTTCAGCAAACCAGTACTATTCCACGCAAAGGGGGGAAGTTAAAGTGGTGGCATATGTAAGTAAAAGCTTTATATTACATGAGAAAAAAATATATTTTGTATTATTGTCTTTAACAGCAATCAAGTGTGTGAGATAATAGGTTTATGCCTGTCATAGGTTTTTTTCATTTCCAAAAAACCGAGAAGGAAGCTTCAGCCAAAAATAAAGGCACAGACAAAAATAGGATCAGTAGGATTGAGAGTTACAATTTTAGTGTATAGACAAGTTTTATTACAATTAGACTCAAACCAAACAAATAGTGTGGCATTCTCCAGTGGTTGATACTATGTGAGCTCATAATGATTTTGTTTGAGAGGTTTAATTTTTCTATTTATTTGTTGACTCAGCGCTTATGTAAACAGAAGTATTATAGTTTGACTTTTTTATTAAATTTAGATTAAAAATCTTTCATATAGTCATAAAAATCTCTATATATAACAATCATCAAAAAAACTTAACGATCATCTATCGGTGAGTCCTCATGTGCATTTAAAAAAAACGTGTGCATATACTTATATACGCATGTAAGAAGTTATACTTCTATGGTGTAACAAAACAAAAATATATAAAGATTTCATCATCATCCCATATGCCACAACTCTCTGTTTATAAAAGGAATACAGCTAACTTCATCATGTCGCTTTTTAGCAGTCGGTGTGCGCGCGGATCGTAAAAACTGTAGTCTCATATTTTTTTCCATATGTGCCAAAATAAATAAAACTTCAAAAAATTATTACATGTATTTGTTGGTGTATATGTACACTTGTTATGGATATACATATCAGTGGGTGTGTTACGTTTCATATAATTTAGTTTGTTAATGTTAAAGATGTATATTGTAAGTGTTCTTATGAAATAAATAAATCATGTTATACTTATTTTAGGCATACAAAAACTTTGGTGCCCGAGTGCGAGCACTAAAGCGAAAGTTAGATGAACTAATACCCACCCTGCCAAGTGCAGCCCCCTCACCGCCTCAGCGTGATGAGGATGTACCGTCTCCTGGACCTGATGAGGATTTGGAGCTACCTGCTCCAGAGACTGGTGAAGATGGTAGGTTGACTTGGTCCAAGTTGGTTTTTCCAACTTAATTAGCTTTAGCTAAATAGCAATATATAATAATACTAGCGACTCACCCTCGTTCCGTTGGGGTTCGTCCCTAGGGTGGCCCACCCTAAAAACTTACGGGGATGAAAAATAGTTTACGTCCTATTCTCAGTTCTACTGAATATACACACAAAATTTCATAAAAATCGGTCAAGCGGTTTCGGAGATTAGCGTTTTGGGTTCTATTGCGTTAATAAAGAACCCCTATAATAGTTTTTCTCAAATATCTTCCTTCCATGTACAAACAGTGATAATTTACAAATTTATTATATGTATAGATAAGTATAAAAACTTGACGCTTTACACAAATAACCCTTTTTTTCCAGTATCATATAATATAGACAGAACATTTAATACATCCATATCAGCTGACGGATCTCTCTATAATTTTGGTCTCTCTTCGTTCCTCACATCAGAAAATCCAATGGCTATGTTCAATGAGACTGCCGAATTAGATATCAGTGGTAAGTTGTTTTCTATTTTGTTGTAGTTTTATTTATTCTTATTTATTTGGTGGAAGTTATTTTAGAATTAATATAAAAGATAGATACTTGATTGAAAATAAAAACAATAGAATTACTAATTAGGTGTTAAAAGAGAAACACATGGCTTTATTGGCTAAGAAGGCATAAAAAAACATAATAATATTATTTATATATATACGCTTCATGGATGAGACACAATGATGATGTATGTATTAATGTATACAAGGGTGGTGGGTAAAAAAAATTTTTTTTAAGAGATCTCTCAATTTTTTTTAAAATTTCCTAACTCGTTGTACGACTTCTACAACGAATATTATTCATGTCCAGAAGTTGCTGGAAAAGGTCTAAAGTTTCTGGAAACTGAACAAAGTCTTAAGTGCCCTTTAAATATTAAAATATCGATTTGAAAATTTCAGTATCCTAATCATTTTTATAGTAGAGAAAAAAAATATTTGTGTTTTTTGGGCCACCCTAATGTACATACTGTTTTGTGTTTCACACTGCATACCACAATAGTAGTGGCTGGTTCGATTTCCGCTCATGGACAATACGGTGTCTATTTTTAGTAGATATTTAGTGTTGCTTAAGGAAATTTATTATGCAGATATATTGATTATGTTGATAAATTAATTGAAGTTAATTGAACACATATTATAGAATACATACTATATTGATAATTCACATTATACAGGCAAGGAAAAGAGGTGCTTGCGAATGTTTATGGTAGCCACTTTTAAATAATAAGTTATCTAATGCATTTTCTGTTAGATAAAACCTTTGAAAAATTTATGTATGTTCCATACATATTTGTATTAATATTATTATTATAAATATTTATGTATAGTTTAAATGTTTTGATAAATAACCATAAAGAGAATTATTATATACATATATTATATACATAAAATATGTCATTTTAATAATATAATAATAGAGAGTGTAGTTATATTAAAAAATATATTATTATATAAGATTGGTTACTAGTCAGAGTCGCAATATTCATTTTATACACGATGGAAATTTAAAAGGTTTTCTGTGACAGACAGATAAACACATAAATGATCTATATTTTATCAGATACTATAAGTAAAAAAATATGTAAAGTATTATAAAATGGTTATACACATCAAGAAATGTCATACATAGATGTGAAATTCTATAGATTTTAATTGTAACTAGAATCAATATACATACATATAAACAACTAGGCGACTAACCCTCGCTTCGCTCGTGTTCATCCCTAGATTAATTGCGCATACAAACTTTCATCCCCATTTTCACCTCCTTAAGGGTTGATTTCCGTGATAAAAAGTATCCTATGTCCTTCCCAGGATCTCAAACTATATTCTTACCAAATTTCATCTAAATCGGTTCAGTAGATACAGACATTACACCCTACAACGTCACAAACTCACAAACTTTACCTCTTTATAATATTAGTATAGATTATAAGGCCTACAAGTTTTTGTCGCGAGCAAGAATTGAACCCGTGACCTTCTAAATGTAAGTCAACACTATGTAAAGGTGTATATTCTTACAAAATATACATTTGCAGCGAATAAAATAGAAGTGATAAATTTGAGGCCAAACGACAAACAAGATATCGATTTAAGCGATATTTTGGATAACTTTGATCCTCTAGAAAATAATTCTACTTCTTCTGAAAATAATTCAGGTATGAAGAATTGTAAGAAATAGTGTTTTTGGGCATGTTGTTTCGTTTTGCTTTATATCTATCATCTTCTTTATGTAGACGTTAATTTTTATTCTTAGATTGTAATATTTGCACTATTAATATACAATATTTAATTTGCTTTTGTATGGTATGATTTTTAACATTATTTTAATTTTTTTCATTAATTTAAAAGTGGTTACCATAATAGCTCGTGTATTATTAATATTTTTCCCTTTTAAGTAGTACATGTTTCATACATAATGCAAAAAAATTCTTTAATTTTGTAGAAAATATACGTTGTATTTTTTTTGGCATGTGGTTGTTTTTTCGTTATAAATCATAGTTATTTGTATTTATTTGTAGTTTAGATTAGTTAACTGTTAATCGACTTTAAGATATATAATTAAATATATAAATTAAACAAAACTAACATATATGTTAGTTTTGTTTAATTTTATAAATTTTAGTGTGTTTTTATGTAATAGGAACACTCTAAATAAAGAAAAAATAGTCTTCCAAATCAGAATTAGATATTGTGTAAAACTCATGCATATAAATAATAGTGTCGCGTCTATTCAGTAATTAACTGCATATTATATTATTCATTTTTGTATTATGATCGCGTTCGTAACCGTCTTTAATATTAAACAATTTTCTTTTCATTTACATGTAAATTTTCCAAAATAACATCTAACTTCAAACATTTTAATAAAATAACGTGACACGTTTAAAAGTACTATTATTTTATATAAATATCTTATACCATGAAGTCTCATCAGGAACAAAGTAAAATGAGACCAAAAAATATCAATAGATGGCGTGCAAAATTAATAAAAGAAAAAAAAAAGACTCAAAAAGATAAATTCTTTAGATGAATAAATATATATTTTTTCTCATTATATTGATGATTGGAAGATCAGCCAGGTAAATTTCTAAGAAATAAATTTTTCTAAGAAATCTATTGTTAACTGTAAAGCCGGCGTGTCCGCGGTCGTGGAGGGATTAAGTTTGTACTGCCTTTTCATAGATGGCGCTGTTTACATTTAATGTAGTATTAGTAGCTCTCGTACAGTATTCATACTAGTATTTTCTATTATCAGTAATAAATGAAGATTAAATGTATGTAATCTAAAATCTTTTTAGTACATAAGCTTAGATATTTACTTAATTTTATGATAAACTTTGTATTATATCTCTGAAAACGTAATAGTACAAGTAAATACGCTATTCATTGATGTCTATATGTATATAGCCCTATTGTCACGTGTCCCGTCAAAAGAGATAGAGTTATATGATAGAAAGAGAACGAACAATAATGTATTACATATTAAGCACTGTGCGAGGTAAAGTGCACTTTATTGCGTCGTTATAAGAGTAGTTTTATATTTAAACTTGTCGACTTACGTATTGTGTATTTAAAATGAAGACACGTAGAGATTAATTGATGTATAATTATTTCGGCCTTTTTCAATAATGTTTCTAAAGCAGGTTATAGGCTTATCGCATTTATAGTACTTGTTTTCCTTTCTTTGCCTCTTATAATATTAAATGAGCGATTCTTGTGTATTTATTTTGGCTTTTTATTTAGAAGCGGCTCTAACGAATGAGATCATATTTTGTAGTTTAAATTTTGATTTTTAAGTTTATCTATATCTATGTCTTTAATTTTTCCGAAAAAATACGATTTTACAAACAAAAAAAAGCAGTGAGCGAAGCTCGGTCGCTTAGGTGCTATTTTTAATGAACGGCAAACAACTTGAGCAAAAACAATTTTGAGAAATTCTGCAAATTTTATTTAACTCTAGTTTTGGCATGTAACTTAAAATGAGCTTTTGAGTAATATTCAATATACTTGCTTACTGATTATTAAATCAAAATAGTTTATTATTTCTTAGGTCAAACAAACACCATGAAATTATACAGCAATCATAGCAACGGCTAACACAATTTGTTCTAGCAGGCAGTGCGAATATGTCCCAGTCGCAGGACACGTTGCCCGGTTTGGACCTACTGACGCCGGACAGTACGGGCAATCCGCCGCCGCCGACTTCATTTTATGGCACGATGGAGACGATAACCAGTAAAGATTTGCTTGAATATTAGCTATTTTACATATATAGGATGATTTTTTATAGAAGACATGAGACGTGAATGGTTAAACTGGAAACAAATTAAAAAGTACTGAGATTTTTTTTAAATTAAATGCTACTTGAAAATCATCCTGTATACCTATATTTTTATTGCATTTAAAACGTATAAAGAGTTAAAATATAATTAACGCCATTGACGAAGGTGGGCTTATCTATCTAAGAGACAATTTGATGTCAACCTTTGAATGAGAAATATATAGTGTTATAAACACTTTGGGGCTAAAATTATCTACTAATAAATGTGAAGTATATATTTAAATATAATATATTTATTATTAATTAGCAGGATAGTTAGATTGTAGTTAGCACAGTATTTATCTAAGTTTATTTTTTAGTTAGTAACTGTTTATATGTTAATGTTTGTTTATAGTTAATGTTTGTATGTTATTTTTGAATGAATTGTGAGTGTTGAATATGTTATGTACCTAAGGCCCTATGCACACTTCGTTGTACTAACACGCAGGAGACGTGCGTATCATGAATATACGTTTATATATTCTGCGCTGATAAATTTATTTCCGATTACTTTTCTATACAATAAAAATTTTTTTTTTGAAGTGAAATTTCTTTAGAATCGTTGTGATTTGAAACTCGATGAAACAAAAATGCGACACCGGGAAGTGACAAACACAAATATATAGGATTAAGGCCGCGAGAGAATGAGATAGAATACATTGCCACGGTAAAACCGTTGTTATTGTCTGACAAATATATAATATTGTATTCTTTCCGTATATGATATTCTATAAATATATGATTATAATTTGCCTAATATGCCTTATTTAATTATTGATTTGTTTTAATTTAATTGCGATATTTGCTTAAGAAGATTTTTTTAACCACCTATTTAAAAAAAAACGTTGACAGCGCTTTTTAAAGCCGTAGTATGCAATTGTGCATAGGACTTGAGTGTGATGGAGGTATCGAGTTTGCCAAGTTATGAGCTAGTGACGTCACGCGTGTTTGACGGAGTATGTGTGTGCTGCCATGCATGCGTGAATTCGTATATATATTATGTATATAATTTTTATTTATATGATCAGCCTATGATGTCGTAATAACATGTCTTCTCAAATATTATAATAAACGTGCTTTCTAAAATTTGTTACATGCATTAATTAATCGATAATAATAATTCATTTATGTTAAGACTAAATTTTATTAAATTATTTTTTGTATAGAAATAAAGTTATCGATAATTTTCTAAATTTAACAGTGAAAAAGGCTCTTGGGTTTTTTTTAAACAATATTCGCATCGTAAACTGAAACTCAATTATGTTAATATTTTTATAACAAAATAGGGAATATGCGTGTTATTTAAATAAAGTTGAAATATTTTTTTTATAATCTTTATTGCTTTTGAATTAAGCCGATATTAATATTTTTTAATGTAATTTCTTTTTGATTAAGAAAATAATTATTAAAAAGTGCAAAAACAGGTGGGAAATTCAAAGTAGTTGAAACGCAACGCCATTGGTCAGACCGAATATGACGTCAGAGTATATCATAACAGCGATTAGCGATTTTGTCGCTTACAAATTGAGTCGTCATTTCTCTGTGAGTATATCATACTGTGACGTCACGTCAAGCGCGCGAAATGGCGGTCGCTTAAAGTATCCATAACGGTATGACATTAAAAAATATATATTATACTAAATTTTAGTTTTTTGGAGCTGTATATTTTTTTTACAATTATATAACGATGTTAAGCTATTGTATAAAGAATTAAAAAAAAACACGCGTATTCCCTATTATGATTGATTTTATGTCATTTAAAATACATAAATGATTTTTATATATAATACTATGATTTATCTTATAGTTCCAGATGACACTGAACAGCCCTATATACCAGAAGCGATAACAACCACTCCATGGACTAACCCCGCATGGAATGTGCCTCCGGTAAGTAATCTCTCGTTTCGGTGCTTATTTATTCAAACGACCAATTTATCGAAAGAGTTTTTAATACAAAATAATCTATACATATAATAAAATTCTGACTGAGTCGAATCTGTACATTAAGTACTCTTTGGAAAATCTTATTGAAATAGTCATTATTATCGATACAGAGGCCGAATCTGTAGTTTTTAGAATTTTTGTCTCTGTCTGTGAACGCATCACGAGATAATACACATTTTATTTTAATAAATATGTATATAAAAATATCAGATTTCTTTGATACGTAATTGGGATTAAATACTCTCTAGTATTACTGGATTGCCATAATTTTTGTATTTTCTGTTTTAAAATTGAAATTTAACGCAATATATATAAAGACTAATCCTAATCATAAATTTACATATTTAAAATTTAAAGCCCTTGTCCAAGCTTTGTTGACAGCCATTATTTCTATTCGTACTACAGATGTTATTTTGTGTTTATCTTCAATTAACGTACTGTTAGTAGATATATAAAAAGATCCCATGGTTACATATTATTAAATATTAATAAGCAATCTAAAACTTGTACTAAGGGAAAAATATAACGCTCTCCCAGTTATTATTAAAATAGAAAATAAGACAACAACACAACAAAATCTATTTCAGCCAACGACAATAATACCCCCAGTAATAGCCAACCGCAATATATACACGGAGCCGCCGGCCTCCCCGCCGCCAGCACGGCATCCGCCAGTACCGCCGATTGTTGAAAGGACACAGGTATAGTACAACAATAACATGTGACATGACGACAACAATAATAAAGATATCCAGATTGATGTCGGCCGCAGGAGCCAATTCCAATGAGACTATATTTTAGATATTACTAGCGACTCACCCTCGCTCCGCTCGGGTTCGTCCCTAAGGTGGCCCTTATCACTTAGGGGTATGAAAAATAGATAGTAGCCGATTCTCAGACCTACTGAATACGCATATAAAATTTGGTAAAAATCGGTAAAGCCGTTTCGGAGGAGTACGGTAACTAACATTGTGACATGGAAATTTTATATATTAGATGAAAGTACTTAAGTATATACGCATGACTAAATGCATTATCTATGTCTCGCCGAGAGGGAAAACACTTCTTGCAACTTCTGATCTCACAACTTTGAACTATTAATGTGATATTCCTGGTAGAAAAACTCAATAACTAAACTTGGTTTGACCCTGAGCTTGAACCCAGGATCTCAGGAATGTAATGACGGCGCAACGACTTTTGCCCTCGCAGCGTATACACCGAGATGTCGTCATTATGGTACTTCATCCAATAAGCGCCGGTACCACCTACATTAGTGTATGGGCACAAATGGATATTACTTAATGTAGTATGACGTGAAATATTATGACATAAATATGATGACGTGACAACAACAATATGACAAACATAAAATTTATATAATATATTGTATCTTACATTGAACCCTAGAAGGTAAATTTTTTTGGTACAGTTGAGACGTCTCAAAAACAACGTTAACTTTACATATTATGCAGTATTTAGTGACTGATACATTTTCTATTGTTTTAAAGATTATTATAATGTTGAAACTTATTAATAAAGTGTTGCTATTATAATAATAATATATAATTTGAAGGACGTACCTCCGTCCGACGTGGACCACCGCGGCATACTGCCCCCACCGCCGCCCCCGCCCGTACTGCCGTTGTTAGGTCGTAAGTATATAGCGATTTCTTTTTGTAATTATTTAACTTATTGGTTAAAATTATTATTATTAATGTTACTTCTTATACCATTACAAGTTCATGTTTAAGCAAGTTTCAAACCTTATTTCTTTTTTATTAAATTATATTATATATTTTTTTATAAATAAAGTTTTATGCAAATTCCAGCTATTACTGAATTATACACATGAAGTGACTCTTTTCCCCTTTTTTTTTAAAAAAAAATATAACCTTTATAATAAAATGCGTAATGTTTTTTTAAAGTGCGCGTTTTTTAGTATATGAGTTAATGTGTTTGTTACTTTTTTACTCTGAAATGACTAAAAGAAGTTTAGTGAAAATTATCTCATTTATATTTTGGAACACCATATAGGTTACTTTTTGTTTGTGAACCTGTGGGCAAGAATTATTTTCATTATATTATGTTTTATAAGATAATGAAATTATTATTAATTATTAACATTATTTGTGAACATTTGAGGTTCTTAACTTTAAACTAGTTAAAAAATTATCAGAAATTCGATTTTGCTTGTAAAGTTTAAAAATATGTTAAAAGTTTTTAGCCTATTTATAGGCATATTTTGTTGTGTATGTATATTTGTATTGCGTTTTGACCGTGTGTAATAATTTTTAGATATTGAAGACGTGGATCACAGGCTATTACCAAATTTGCCTCCGCTACCGCCAGTGACCACCACGCCTATAAGGCACACTTCACATCAAGGTATGCTTACGTACAAACATAAGTTATTATAAATTATAGTTCTTATTCAACTAATAACAAGCCTTTTTTCTATTCAAAAAAGGTAATAATAAACCAGATGTTTCTAGTGACGGTAAGTTGTACTGCTCGCAAAAAAATAATAATTTGATGTTTAGCTCTTTTTTTCCTCTGGCAATTTTTATTTTATTTTTATATCGAAATAATTGTTTAATTTAATTATTTACAGGTTGTTTTATGGTCTGCCTTTATCATATTGTTTTTGTAACTATTAGAATATATTGTGTAATGTAGGAAATATTTTTTTTATTCTTTTCTACATTATCTGCAATACTGTCTTTTTTTATACTATCTGTTATTTTGTACAAGCATTCGTTATTTATTATGCACATGGCATGCCGTTATGTATAGGGTAAATTCACATGGTTTGGTTTCACATTTATTAAAGCTGTATGCTTTACGTGACAACCATTTTGTTTAAAAAGTATTAAGTCATAGTAATTCAAAGGGGATTGGGCAAATTTGTATGACCCAGTACGGCAATTTATTCAACTTATCTTTATAGGCGTCGGGTCAAAACTTCTGCACATCTCGAAAAAAAATCTTATTTCTCACAGATATGTAGAAATATTGTAGTTTATTTTTCAAATGTTTTATTTTTACTTAAATATTAAAAATCGTTATTTGCCTTTTTTTTAATTTTTTTTTTGAAGTCAGATAGGAATTAACTTATGCATGCGTGAAATATGGAAGTACAAAAAATTGTAAAAAAAAACGTGCAGGGTCAAATAGATATACAACAAAAGGTCGTAAAGGGTCTATACCAAGGGATAAAGAAAAGGTAAAATTGTACCTATTTTTCGGAAGAATTAAAATATCACAAAAAAAATTATCTAAAAACTGGCGTTGTTTGATATTATATTCATCACTCGCCGCCACAATATCGAGTCTAAGTCAAATCTGCCCAATCTCCCTTAATAAAAATGTAAAAATCATATCATAAAAGCTAATTTATTGTGATTTATGTATTTCATTTTATTTTCCAGATGTAGATCATAGAAATTTAATATCGTTAACGCATCAGGTCGCACCGCAGCCGGTGCCTCGGCCGCATAACCCTGTGGACCAGGTATGTGTAGTTAGGGAGAAATAGGGAGAAATGGGGAAATTATGTGGAAACGGGGAAATAGGAAAGTTGTATTCAATTTCTTGGAGGAAACATGGAAATTAGTTTTGGATAAGAAATAATATTAATACGGTAAAAAATTATTGGTTTTGACAAATAATACATAATATTGATTAATCATATTTTTTAAGCTAAGAACAATATTATAGGAGAAGATTTTCTTAAAGAATCGTTTGCTCCATGCGAGATTCGAATCCATAACCTCCGCGTTGTAAATATTGTGGTACAATTTATTATATTTTATATGTAAACTACTACTTTATTATTAGTGACATTTTGTTATGTTTGTCCTATATTATATTATTTATTACAAGATTTTTTATTAAATGGTAAATTATCTAAATTATATAATGTAATAAAGATATGTAATTAATTATTTTTGTGTATTTTCTTAGGATTACAGAGTACCGCCGTTAGTGCCTCCACCAGATATAGTCGAGAGCGTTGATATGGACTTATCGGAAGATGAAGAACAACGTATGTTTATATTACATTTAGTACATATATATTTCTTTTTGTCTTAGGTACAGAAACGTAAAGTATTAAAGAATTACAATAAATATTAAAATATAAATTTGCTATACAATTATATCTGTACATAACATTCTAGAAGATAAATAAATATAGTTATATAATGATAAAGATTTAATTTAATTTAATTTTTATGTCTAGCAATATAATATTTATAATATATATAATATAATATTGTAATATTAGCAACTTACCCTCGCTTCGCTTGGATGTATCTGTTTTTGAGTGGAACCGTAATTCTTTTTCTAAAATAAAAGTAGCCTAAATTTCTCCTTATAATATCAGATATCTGCCAGTGAAAAGCCTGTCAAATTCCGTCCACTCGTTTCGGAGATTAGCCTGAACAAATAGATAGACATACAAATATATTAAAAATTGTATTTTTCTATAAGTATCTTATATAATCTCATATGCATTTAGTAAAAAGCTGTTAATTTTGACGTTACAAACAGACACTTCAATTTTATTTATCTGTATAGATATCTTGTAATTGTATAATTTTATTGCTATACTAATAGTGACTGTATTGGTTTTATTAACTCAATCTTTATATTATTTTAAATTAAAATCTCTTTTTTATCTAGTTAATTATTTAATATTTAATTTCAGAAGGTATGTACCCAAATCAGCAGAATTCAAACGAGCATCGACGTAACAGTTTCAATAATAATAAAGTTTTAGTCGGCGGCGATGAAAAGTCCGTGAAGGAAACGAATCATGTAAAAGTGAATATTAATAGTATTCGTGATAAAGATGGGCCCCATACAGCCCCCATTGTACCCCCATTATCGAATCCCTTCGATAACATGCCTTCAGGACTCAAATTTAATATGCCGTTCCAAAATATGCCGCCCGCTTTCAAAAAAGCCAATTTCGAAGAAAACAGAGAAGATAATTCCAATGATAGTGCATACGAAGAAGATGTAAGAAGTCGTAGTATGGATAACATAAGAAAATCGCCTGAATATGACGAGTTTCAAAAAGACGTCGAATGGCACGGGCCTAGGTTCATAAATCAAAGGTTCCCCAGGAATTGGGGGCCTAGAAACAATTTTAGACCCTTCCACCCCCAATTTCGACCTAGAAATGGACCTAGACCGCCAAATAGGTGGATTGGACCAAGACCGCAAAGATTTTGGTGAAATGTTACGGTGTATGATGAGTTGCTAGTTTATATTGAGTGGGGAAAAGAAAGGTTTTTGTTACACTAACTTGGAATTTATGGTATAGAATATTTGATAATATATATCTACAAGCGACTTATCGTAGTTTTGCTCGGGTGCGTCCCTAGGTATGCGGGTTTGTTCGCAATTTCTTAGGTTTTATTTTTTCGATCCAGCCGTTTCGGAGATTAGCCGGAACAAACAGACACAATTTTTTTTATTAGTACAGTAAATACTTTCATATGCATTTACAGACAGTTTAACTTTATTTATCTGTATAGATTGTAGATTAAAATCAGTATTAGTAAATTTATGGAAACAAAATTTTTAAATTACACTCTGACACTCTTACTTATACACCTTTAATTTGAATAATTTTTTTTTTTTGTTAGAAATTGTTGCTTAGCAGTTAATGTTAAATAGGGTGTTTTTATGTTACTAAAAACTAAAATAAACAATATCTTTTATGGTTACGACGATTTTTGAAAGTTTAACCAACTTTGAAATAGGATGAGTAAAATTTTTTTTTGTATTTATTATGCGACATTTTTATTATAGTGTGACACAATTTTAAGACTCCTTTTTATGAATTGATCTCTTGAGAAGAAGAAAAAATTCTATTCTTATTAATGGAATTAATACATTTAAGCGTTTTTAGGAACGCGTTTTACTTATCTATGATACTTTAGACCTTAAATTTCATATGTGCAATAAATTAAAGCTCGATAACTATCTTATCTTTATTAAATAAAACTATCTTTAAGGTATACCTTCAAGACATGTAACACCTCAGTCTCTCCCGTGACCATGGATGCTGTAAAGCATTCGAAACGTCGGGAACCAAAAATCAAAATAAATCCGCGAAATAATCCGAAAAGATAGTTTTATTTAATAATGTCAAACATTCGCGTAAATCTAAGAAAGTATTATCTTATCTTTCTAACACTGTATGGAATAATAGAAATTTTTAGCGTCATCTTGAGTCCACTTACAAGCCATATTCTGTCAGCGTGGCAAATACCACCGCCCTTTTGATTTTTAAAAGTATATAACTTTTTTACAATATTTATTCTATTATCATGATATCCAAGTTAGTTTAATAATTTTAAAACAAAAACCGTTTATATAAGAAGTATGTTTGAATATGAAATTTTGGGTCTTTTTTGGTCCAAACCATAAATATAGCAACTTATCAAATAAAATGTATAGTTTTTATTTATAGATAAAAGAATATTTTGATTGTATGGTAAATAGTATCTGTTCATTTGTTCGTTGTAGAGAAATTTGGCTTGTTTTAGACAGCACATTATTGAAAATAAATATAAGTATGCCGATTTTGTTTTTATTATAAATATATATAATTTGTAAATATGTCTTCAATTTTTAAACCTTTAGTAATTTTTTATACAGAATTATGTCGTAATATTGATTTGGAGGTCAATTTAAATCTAATCAAGAATTATATAATAAAATATAAGATAAGATATTGGATGAGATATAAATATTGGCATAGTACCTTGAATGGAGGGTTTTATTTTATTAAAAAAGCTTTTACTAATTCGTTTATTAGATATAGGTTAAATCAGAGGACTGTTTCTTTAATAATCTTTATAACATAAAATTTACATATTAGTTATTATTAAAAGATTAGGGTATACCATATCATTATACATAGTTTTGTCTGTCTCTGTTTGATTGCTTTTATTTAGAAATTCGTAATTTATTACCGAATTGGCTTGAAAAGTATCAAATAGCCATAATACAATTTAATTAAAAAGTCATAGAAAAAATTTTTTTTTAGTTAAATAAGCTCTAATAAAATCAACTGGAGTTAAGGGTCAGGCCTTTTAGTAATATCAAAAATATTGCAAATAAATAGTACCTACTTTTAAAATTTGCAAACTTAGTGTTAAAACCTATATGTTATCCGTTTTATGTTATATGCATTGCCCGCGGCTCCGCCCGCGCTCAGATGACCAAATTCTAAGGTTTTACATTGCAGTTTTTGTATATTTTCTCAGAAATGAGATATTTTCCCGCAGTAAAAATATCCTATATGTTGACCTGGATAACCAACTATCATCATACCAAATTTCATTAAAATCCCTCCAGGGGATTTTCCGTGATGCGGTAACAGACACACAGACACAAAAATTCTAAAAACTATAGATTCGACCTCTGTATCGATAATAATGTCTATTTCAATAAGATTTTCTAGAAAATATTTAATGTACAGATTCGGCTTTGTTACAATATTATTATATGTATAGATTTTGAGTTAGGAGGACCAATTTATGATCTAAGATATTTTATGAGTATCAAGAACTATTTTTAAAATGTTAAGGCATTTATGCTCGGAAAATAAAAACAAATTTTAAATTTTCAGTAAATTTAATAAATAAGAGCTATCTATATATCTATCTCATATATACATCTCAATAAAATAATAAAATAAAATAGTAAAGATTAAAATTTTTCTTTCTTTAAATAAAAAGGGGTTATGGCGTAAACCATTCTGAAAACAACTGTGAGAGGATAATTTTTGCCCAAAAATCATGTAATTTTTTTTACGGGATTGTTTAATTGATTATGTAATTTGGATTTCCGTCATATAAATCATCATTAGATCAATTCTTGGGTACTCTGATATTTATTTATAATATTTTTCTGAAGCTTTTTAAGTAAAGTAAAAATTAATAACAAGATTATAAACTGAAGTATATATATATGACATATAATATATACTAAAATAAATATTTTAGCAAAAACATCGACATTTTTAGTCGCTTATAACACAAAGTTCTTAAGTTAACTTGTTAATGCTGCAGAAATATACGGAATGGTAAAATTTTTATTTAAGTCTGCAAATTTTAATTTTGAGGGAAATAGAAAATTGCAGAGGTTATAGAGTTTTAAATTAGTTAAAATTGACCTTGACCTGACCTATAATAAAACTGTAAACAAAAATTACGGTTTCATTGTTTAAAACATATTAGTTAATTAATCTAATGACTCTACTCCTTTTAACTCTTAACGACTCTTTTTAATTTACTTCAACTCAGTATAGGTTAATGACTAAACCTAACTTATGGCAGTGGTAAAGAATAGATTCTATTTTTTAAGCTCGAAGTCTAAATAAATACTAGTGTAGTATTTATATTCAAAAATGTGCATTTATTAGGAATATTAAAACGCCTAAATTTATCTGCAAAGACAAATGATAGTATATAATGTATATAAAAGAGATTTTTATACAAAGATTAACTAGTTAAACTACTGACAATCTTCATATTGCGACAGTTTCTACGTACACGTCATGTTTGTTTAAAATGTGACAAAACAAAAATAAAAATAAACAAAAAGTAAATTAAAATTGATTTATACACACAAAATTTGGACATATGTAACTCGATTATTTTAAACTAGCATTTAAACTAAAAATATGAAATTATGACTTTTTCTTTCAAATATGAAAAAAATGAAATATAAAATTTTGGTACTTATATACATACAAGTTCTATACAATAGTGTACGTAAAAATTGTCAATATATGATTAGGTAAGGTAGGCTTTAAATGCCACCCAGTTATGTATTGATAAGTATTTAGAAATTAAAGTAATTTTACATTATCATTGCTCAGACTAAAGAATTATACAGGCGGAGCCCGCCAGAAAAAAACTTCAAAAATAATAGTGTGATTTGCTGTTTATGCTACTATTTTCAATTTTTCCATGCAAATTAGTAGTTAATTCAAAAACTTTGAGAAGAGAATATGAACAATTGTAAATAATAAAAATTATACTATATTCTTTTGTATTATTCAAGCATTACGACACGTTTGGCTGTTTGTAGTGACCCTACTTGATGTGCCAGCGGTCACGGATTCGAGTTCCGCTGGGGGCATTCATTTGTGTGATGAGCACGAATGTTTGTACTCCAGTCATGGGTGTTTATATTTATAATATGTATGTATTTAGTTATATATGTGTAGTGTATCGACTACCTGGTATCCATAACACAAGCCTCGTAGCTTACCATGGAACTGGAGCTGTGTGTGTTTCTACATATTTATTATTTATTAGCTCTCTTCCCCTTGTAAGAAAAATAGCATAATAGTAGCTTATTTTAATCTTTTCTTTATTATAATATATTCTCTTAGCTATTTTCATTTATTAACATTTATTTACTTATCACAGTAATGAGTATTCTATTAATATTTGTATACTATTTTAAAACATTATTGTCTGGCTTCACGTTTAGTTCAATAACACTCTGTCTGTACTATTCCTTAGTCTGAGTGAGTTTCATTGTTGATATTTGAGTATAATTCAGGTGTTCAGATCAAAAATGGTCTAACCCACATTTTTTTAATTTCACCCACCCACATTTTTTTTAAATTTTATTACATTAAGTATTTGGAAAAACGATAAAACGTCAATCTGTTATAATATTTTTATATACCTATTGACGACTACATTCCCTTAGTTTCATGAAAATTAAAAGATTCTTTTAGAAATTAAAAATAAAAAACCAAGAAAAAGTTAAAAACCGAGTTTTCTGCAAATATCTCGAAAACTTTGAGGTTATTGTAAAAAGTGTTTTTTATAAAAGTTGTAAATTTTTACTAGACCTACAACCTTTGCGAAAAACATTTTTCGATAGAACGTCACTGTAAGCCGGAAATTGAAAAAAACTATTTTTCAACGCTTTGCTTAGCTGGGCACGTGGGGCATTTTACGAATTTCTATTCCGTATATACCTGTTAACATTTTAAAATCATAAAACGTCAGGTTTTCAATACCTATATTTTTTTCTTTTAAAAATATACGGATACCGATTGGCCTACTAAGAGCCAAAATTTCATGAGGTTAGGCCACTTTTGAATTTGACACCTTCAATTATAAATTCTGGTTGTGATTTTAGAATTATAATGTCTGCATAATTGTTTTATTTAGCTTTTGTTTTATGACAGTATA